TGAGTGGTTGAGTGGTTGAGTGAGTTGGGTGATACACAGGACACGTGAAGGCACGATTATGGTGAGAAGTACTTGACGTTGCGCGGTGCCTTGCAGCGTGCGGCCGAGGAGGGACTGCGCGGCGATGCGTGGCTTGAGGGCGAGCGCAGTGTCGAGCGAATCCTCAGGACGTCGAGGCGGACGACGGCGATGTGCAAGCAGGTAGAGCAAAGAGAGGGACCAGAGGGCTAACAAGAGGAATGGAAGAAGTTGAGAAATGTCGAAGGATTATTTTAGGCACATTTTAAGGGCGATTTGGGGGATTTTGGGGAAAGGCGATTTTAGGTCAAGGAGGCAGTGAGGGAGGTGGGTGGACAGGGTGAGGGAGGTGAAGGGGCGAGAAAGGGCGATGAGGGAGGAAGATGGGTTGAGGTAAGCAATTTCGGAGGTGGAGGGAGAAAGTGGAAAATGAGGATTTGGGCGAAGGACGCCGACGGAGGAGGTGATGGAGGGTGAGGGAGGAGCGAAGCGACCAGTGAAGGAGGAGGTGAGTGATTAGGTGAGTAAGTGAGTGGTTGAGTGGTTGAGTGGTGGGTGTGTGAGTGAGTATGTGAGTGGTTGAGTGGGTGAGTGAGTGGGTGATACACAGATCACACGTGAAGGCACGATTATGGTGAGAAGTACTTGACGTTGGCGAGTGCCTTGACACGTGCGGCGGCGAGGAGGGACTGCGCGGCGATGCGGTGGCTTGCGGGTGATCTCAGGTGGGAGCGTATCCTCAGGACGTCGAGGCGGACGACGGCGATGTGCAGCAGGTACAGGAGCGACAGCGACCAGAGGCTAATAAGAGGAAAGTGAAGAAGTTGTGAAAAATGTTGAAGGATTATTTTAGGCACATTTTAGGGCGATTTGGAGATTTTGGAAAAAGGCGATTTTAGGTGAAGGAGGCAGTGAGGGAGGAGGGTGGACAGGGTGAGGGAAGTGAAGGGGCGAGAGAGGGCGATGAGGGAGGAAGATGGGTGGAGGTAAGAGGATTTGGGAGGCGGAGGGAGAAGGTGGAAAATGAGGATTTGGGCGAAGGACGCCGACGGAGGAGGTGAGGGAGGGGGTGAAGGAGGGAGCGAAGCGACCAGTGAAAGAGGAGGTGGTTGAGTGAGTGATTAGGTGAGTTAGGTGGTTGAGTGGGTGGTTGAGTGGGTGAGTGGGTGAGAGGGTGAGTGGTTGAGTGAGTGAGTGAGTGAGTATGTGGTTGAGTGATTAGTTGGTTGAGTGGGTGAGTGAGTGAGTGGTTGAGTGGTTGAGTGGGTGATCAGGTGAGTGGGTGAGTGGGTGGTTGAGTGGTTGAGTGGTTGAGTGAGTGGGTGAGTGATACACAGATCACACGTGAAGGCACGATTACGGTGAGAAGTACTTGACGTTGGCGAGTGCCTTGACGCGTGCGGCGGCGAGGAGGGACTGCGCGGCGATGCGGTGGCTTGAGGGTGTTTTTAGGTGGGAGCGTATCCTGAGGACGTCGAGGCGGACGACGGCGATGTGCAGCAGGTAGAGCAAAGAGAGGGACCAGAGGGCTAACAAGAGGAATGTGAAGAAGTTGAGAAATGTCGAAGGATTATTTTAGGCACATTTTAAGGGCGATTTGGGGGATTTTGGGGAAAGGCGATTTTAGGTCAAGGGGCAGTGAGGGAGGTGGGTGGACAGGGTGAGGGAGGTGAAGGGGCGAGAGAGGGCGATGAGGGAGGAAGATGGAAAATGAGGATTTGGGTGAAGGGCGCCGACGGAGGAGGTGATGGGAGGGGTGATGGAGGAGGGAGCGAAGCGACCAGTGAAGGAGGAGATGAGTGAGTGGGTGAGTGGGTGAGTGGTTGAGTGGGTGGGTGGGTGATTGAGTGGTTGAGTGGGTGGGTGGGTGAGTATGTGAGTGGGTGAGTGGTTGAGTGGTTGAGTGGTTGAGTGGTTGAGTGGGTGGTTGAGTGGGTGAGTGGGTGGTTGAGTGAGTATGTGAGTGGGTGTGTGGGTGAGTATGTGAGCGGGTGATTAGGTGAGTGAGTTGGTGAGTGAGTGGTTGAGTGGGTGGGTGTGTGAGTGAGTATGTGAGTGGTTGAGTGGGTGAGTGAGTGGGTGATACACAGATCACACGTGAAGGCACGATTATGGTGAGAAGTACTTGACGTTGGCGAGTGCCTTGACGCGTGCGGCGGCGAGGAGGGACTGGGCGGCGATCCTGTGGCTTGAGGGCGAGCGCAGGTGGGAGCGTATCCTGAGGACGTCGAGGCGGACGACGGCGATGTGCAGCAGGTACAGGAGCGACAGCGACCAGAGGGCTAATAAGAGGTATGAGAATGGGAGACGTATTTGCCACAAATATTCAGGTATTGTCTCAAATACCAACTTGGCAAGTACATCATTCTTGTCTTTTACTTTACTTAGAACGTTCTCTAGTGTTCTACAGAAATCTTTGCACGTGCGCTTATTTTCTACGCCGTTTTCGTCGCTAAGGTTCGATGAGCTTTTAATTACGAAGCCGTATGTACATATTGTTGGACGTGTGAATGGGCATTGAGCTATGGATTTGCACAGTGTGTGATGCTTCGCACTAGCAGGCAGTGGAGGATTTTGCAACGTCTGACAATTTTTATAACAGGTATTACCGTGGCACCTGGTGCCTGGTTTATTGCAGTTATCGCAACATTCTTTCCACAGTTGATCGAGGAGATTGTAGAATGTCTCGGTAAGATATAAAACCCACGAAAGGTAGTTATCGGCATTCTTTTTCTGAGAAGACAGTCCATGTTTTTAAGCTAATAGGTTTCAAGTAACGACCGCAGGTTGTCGCGGACGATTCCTTATTATCGCAACTAAATAGAGAAAAAAGGTCACCTTTGGGATGGTTATCCGCTGCATGATGCTGCGAGCGGAACATTGAAGTAATGTCTAATTTGGGATATGTTTCCCGAAATATGCTTTGGCGACCGCCTTTTAAAGGCATCACTCTTATGATCATTACCCTTCAAACCCCAGCATAGGATGAAATTGTAGTAGAACGCGAACATATCGCCTAATGACTTGGAGGAGTGCGCAAAAGGCATAGCATGTAGCTGCAAAGTTTGATAAGTGGCTTTTCTGAATCACCACAGAAGTCAGCAAGAACGTCTTTAATACGTTTCCCGGTACTTCTGTGCGAAGCTATAACACTGATGTCCCCGAAACCCATTGGAGTGAGGCACGGTTTACCGAAATGATTGCCTAGGGAACATGTCAGTTTGCAGCCAGGAGAGGTAATTGAATGAGGGAGGAAACCCTGCAGTCCATCTTCTAAGAAAGACTGCAAAGGGATTTTAGTCCGCACATAACACGTTGTTCACAGTTTTGGCTACATCTTTGCTTATGTGTTTGGTTACTGTTTTGGTTGGCCTTTTGGTCACCTGTTTGCTCAGGACATTGCATAGTGTTACAATGCCACGCTGACCCGCCTACGCTTTTGCCATACCAACACTCATTCCATGCAAATGCGTCTGAAGTTCGCGTACACTGAATTAATAGGAAACACAGCTGCTGGCATACTCTATGCAATATATCAACTAGCATGTCAAAGCACTGTGCGGGATTGCCAGGGTAGTGTAAATTCAGGGAGTTACTGGAAAACTCGCAGGCATATGTCCCCTCAGCGTGGCCGTAGCCAAGGAAGGTGATCAGGGTTTTTTCGGAGTGAAGGCAAACCTTTTCAAGTTCATCAAATAGATGCATAGGTGTAATGATTGAGGTACCAACTAGGCTTAGTTCGTAGGCAGGAATTGTGGAATAATCGTCATTTTTGTATTTATCAGGCTTATGAAATAATTCCTTAAAGTATGCTTCGAGTTTGGGAAGCATGGAATTATACCGAGTCCGGAAAGCCATTGGAGCATATGGGATACGGTGGTCGGTTGCCTTGGTCGGTCGTAAATCTGGTAATGGCATACTCTGAAATAAGCATGTAACACATGGTATAGGAAGTTAAGCAGGTCCATGAAATAAATATCACTATCAGTTTTTTTCCAAGACGCTACCGTCTCTAGTTGGGCATTAATTCGCACGTCGATTTTAGCTTTAATTACATTACCGGTCATGTCATTTTTGTTCTTGAGTTCCCCATCATTGTTGTCACGATTTGACGGAACACGGTAACCGGAACGTTTGAGAAAGGCACCAAAATCGGTAGTCGATTTTATACGTTGGCTGGACCATGAACTCTCCGGATGCAAAATGCCGGAGTTGAAGTCGTTGAATGCATGATACAGGATGTCTATAATAGAACAAATCGCTTTAGAGCAGTTTCTGCCCTCGTGTGTTAACTCTGATGTCTTCGTGACAGAGCTCATTATGTCAATAAGCAATTCATCACCAAGCTGTTGACCGGAGTACGCACTCACGTAAGCATACTCTAACTGCTTGATGAAATCACCAACACCATCACTAATTAGGTCAAGCAATTTGTTGTTGTTGCCGTCAAATTTCTTAGGGGTTAGGTTAGTAAGTGACATTTTAAGTGACGTTAGGTTATCAGTGGATGTCTTATTGAAGTGAGTAAGTTTGTTGAGTAACGTATTAACACCGTCTCGAATTTTATCAACTTGACGGGATTGATCATTCTCTTCTTTTGGCGGTGTTTTATCTGGTTTCGGTGTCTTGACTTGATCTGCAACGTAAATCATGAGTCCATAAAAAAAGAATTTAGCGTTGCTCGCCAACTCGTCTAGTGTTGTATTACTATTCAGCGTTGATATGTCTAACGTCTCGTCAAATCCTTCATTTAATCTCGTCAAAAATCCCTTCACCCCTGTTGCTTTATCCTCCGCAATAATCCTTCCAATCTCCGCCAACTGCGCCGTGACGACGGTCTGCAGCTGCGTGAGCTCGGCCTGCTTCTGCTTCGCGAAGAGGGATTGGACTTGGGAGGTGAGGGTGGAGAAGGATTGTTGGACTTGGGAGAGGAGTGTGCCTTTACGTATTTCAGAATCACTAATTGTGGACACCCTTGATTGTTCCACGGCTTTACTAAGCGCGTCAATAGCCCTTTGTAACCCATTATCGGCTGTACTAACACTATCCTCAATATTCTCAATCTTGCCTTGCAGTGTGGTGAATTGTATTTTAATATCTTTCATAATTTTCTGGGCTTCCTCACTTGTATCATTAATAGTTTCCGGGAGTTTTTTTAGTTTCGCTAATTGCGTACCTATCTGAGAAACGCTCCCATTAATCGCTTGCTCGGCGGCATGGAATTCATTCATAACATCATTTTGTCCAAGTGTAATAGAAAAGGTCCATCCATTTTTTCCAAATGCGGTTTCCACTTTTTCTATAAGGTCGGCTTGGAGAGCTTCGATGAGAGGCTTGGGATCCAGCGGTTGTCGGCCGGTAGAGTTTGGCATGGTGGCTATTTGTTGAAGAGAAAATAATGCGCCCTCTAAGGCATGTGCAAGATTATCTCTTACGCCCTCAAACCAGCTCTTCAAATGACTCTTATCAAGTGTTGCAGCCAGTTTCTTAACACCGGGGTTGTCGGCAGTTTGAGTCAGAACACCTTGACCAAAGTTTGCAAAAGCACTACTAACATCTGCCGACCTTGCGCCATTTTTCATTGCATCACTAACTTTTGTCACATAATCTCTCAGTGCTTTATTAACAGTGCCCTTTAACTTTGTCAAATCACTAACTACGTTGTGCTTGAGGTCCATAACCTTATTTCGAACGTTATTAAAAATCGATATAAGGGGGGATGAGGTTTGGGTAAACGTTTCAATTTGCGCTTTAATATACTTGAATTCCTTTATAATGTTTTCCTCGTATATTTTCTCGAAATCCGTTACACAGTCATGCACCAACTCCTTTGCTGACTTTACAGTCTGCCGAATACCGTCAACTTGAGTCCTCAATGCTTCATTTTTTAAGTTTGTCAACTTCTTAAAAATTTCTTTAAACTCCACATCCAACTGATTATTCAAGGTATTAATGACTGTATTAACAGTTCTATTAATATGCTTTTCGTGTTGGTCAAGTTGCGCATCGACAAGCATAGCTGCCTCATTCACGTGAATATCGTTAGTAATTTTTTGAAAAATTTCAACGGCCATTTTCACCAAACCCACAGATTTATCAAGCTTTTCACGCAATTCTTCGTCGAGACCATTTTTTGCTTTTTCGCCGAATGTTGCTCTTTGAAGAAACATTTTGGCCATGGATGATACAACATTTAACTGCGCTTTAAGAGGCTTTTTACCAAACGATAAGATTTCTTTATTCAACTCCGTTATCTCATTCTTTAACATCGCATCATACCAACTTTTAAAACGATTAATCCTCCCCTCCATCCCACTCTCATACCCCTGCAGCCCATCCCGCACAATCCCAATGGCTTCGCCAAATCCCTTAAGGCCGAGGCCCTTACCTATTTTACCTTCTAAATCCTTTATAGTCTGCGTAATATTAGGATAATAAAAGCTTAAAAGCGTTTGACTGCCTTTAAGACATTGGAGGATAAAGGACATCACCCCGTCGCACAGCCTGTCAAGGTCCGAGTACACGATGCCAGTGCCATCGTAGCCTTTGGAAGTTTCTTGGTAACCAAGGAACTTCTCCAAGCCAGAGCACAGATTGTTTAAAATGCTTTTACATTCTCCGGTTGTAGAAGTTTTAACACTCTCATTGAATTTCATAAGCTTTCCAAGACTTTGAAGCGATGTTAACGAAGCCTCATGAGACTGCAATTTAGCCTGCGCAGTTTCAAGAGGATTGGAAAGATGGGAGGGAATGGAGATATCTGCATCTTTAAGATCCTTATTTTTCTTCCTTTCCGCTTGTTTAATGTCATCAATTTTCTTATTGATGTCAGCAATTTGTGCAGTAAGGTTCTTAATGTATTCATCAATTTCCTTTTCAGGCTCTTTTAAAGCACTTTTAAGCTGTGTAATTTGCCTTTCACGGCTCTCTTTTTGCTTTTGAAGTTCCTGATTTTTTTGCTCAATTAGCCTTTCAAGCTCAGCAATCTCAGGACCACTGACGGACGGCGTCTTTACAGACGCCTTCCTTTGTTCATCTTTTTGCTTATTAAGGCTATCAATTTGTCTCTCCATTTTATCAATGTTTTTAAATGTCTCTTGAAGTTTTTTAAGATTTTCATTACGGAAATTCTTAATATTACAATTACACTTCCCATCTCCGCAAGATGCTTGTAAACGCTTTTCAAGCTGACTTACATTACTGTGCAAACCATTCAAAATTGCATCTTGTACTTCTTTCCCACCACCAATAAAACCGGACAGCTGTCCGGCAAGCGTACCAAGAGAGATGCGGCGGGCATCAATATCCCCTAAGGCTTTCTTTCTGGCATTCTCAGTGAGGTAATGAACGTCATTGTAATGGTCATTATACTTGGATTGAAGGTGGATTAAGGGAGAGTTAAAAGAAGTAAAGGGGAGTGAAACGGCACGTTTTCAGGGCGATTTGGGGGAATTTGGAGAAAGGCGATTTTAGGTCAAGGAGGCAGCGAGGGAGTGAGGGAGGTGGGTGGACAGGGTGAGGGAGGTGAAGGGGCGAAAGAGGACGATGACGGAGGAAGATGGGTGGAGGTAAGGGGATTTTGGAGGTGGAGGAGGAAGATGGAAAATGAGGATTTGGGCGAAGGACGCCGACGGAGGAGGTGATGGAGGAGGAGGGAGAGGGAGCGAAGCGACCAGTGAAGGAGGAGGTGAGTGAGTGGGTGAGTGGGTGGGTGAGTGAGTGGTTGAGTGGTTGAGTGGGTGAGTGAGTGAGTGGTTGGTTGAGTGGGTGAGTGAGTGGTTGAGTGGGTGATTAGGTGGTTGAGTGGTTGAGTGGGTGGGTGGGTGGGTGAGTGAGTGGGTGAGTGAGTGGGTGATTAGGTGAGTGAGTGAGTGGGTGGGTAAGTGGGTGAGTGGTTGAGTGGGTGGTTGAGTGGGTGATTAGGTGGGTGGTTGAGTGGGTGGTTGAGTGGGTGGTTGAGTGAGTGAGTGGGTGAGTGAATGGGTGAGTGAGTGGGTGAGTGGGTGAGTGGTTGAGTGGGTGGTTGAGTGGGTGGGTGGGTGAGTGGTTGAGTGGGTGGTTGAGTGGGTGGTTGAGTGGGTGGTTGAGTGGTTAGGTGAGTGGGTGGTTGAGTGGGTGGTTGAGTGGGTGGGTGAGTGGTTGAGTAGGTGAGTGGGTGAGTGGGTGGTTGAGTGGGTGGTTGAGTGGTTAGGTGAGTGGGTGGTTGAGTGGGTGGTTGAGTGGGTGGGTGAGTGGTTGAGTGGTTGAGTGGTTGAGTGGTTGAGTGGTTGAGTGGTTGAGTGGTTGAGTGGTTGAGTGGGTGGGTGAGTGGGTGGTTGAGTGGGTGGGTGAGTGGTTAGGTGAGTGGGTGGTTGAGTGGGTGGTTGAGTGGGTGGTTGAGTGGTTGAGTGGGTGGGTGATACACAGATCACACGTGAAGGCACGATTACGGTGAGAAGTACTTGACGTTGGCGAGTGCCTTGACGCGTGCGGCGGCGAGTAGGGACTGGGCGGCGATGCGGTGCGACGAGGGTGAGCGCAGGTGGGAGCGTATCCTGAAGACGTCGAGGCGGACGACGGCGATGTGCAGCAGGTAGAGGAGCGACAGCGACCAGAGGGCTAACAAGATGAAAGTGAAGAAGTTGAGAAATATTGAATGAATATTTTAGGCACATTTTTAGGGCGATTTGGGGGAGTTTGGGTAAAGGTCAAATTAGGTCAAGGAGGCAGCGAGGAAGGTGGGTGGACAAGGCGAGGGAGGTGAGGGGGCGAAAGAGGGCGATGAAGGAGGAAGACGGTTGAGGTAAGGGGATTTTAGGGGTGGAGGGGGAAGGTGGAGAATGAGGATTTGGGTGAAGGACGCCGACGGAGGAGGTGAAGGAGGAGGGAGGAGGGAGCGAAGCGACCAGTGGAAGAGGGAGGTGGTTGAGTGGTTGAGTGGTTGAGTGGGTGGGTGAGTGGTTGAGTGGTTGAGTGGTTGAGTGGTTGAGTGGGTGGGTGAGTGGGTGGTTGAGTGGGTGGGTGAGTGGTTAGGTGAGTGGGTGGTTGAGTGGGTGGGTGAGTGGTTAGGTGAGTGGGTGGTTGAGTGGGTGGTTGAGTGGGTGGGTGAGTGGTTGAGTGGGTGGGTGATACACAGATCACACGTGAAGGCACGATTACGGTGAGAAGTACTTGACGTTGGCGAGTGCCTTGACGCGTGCGGCGGCGAGTAGGGACTGGGCGGCGATGCGGTGCGACGAGGGTGAGCGCAGGTGGGAGCGTATCCTGAAGACGTCGAGGCGGACGACGGCGATGTGCAGCAGGTACAGGAGCGACAGCGACCAGAGGGATAATAATGTTGTCATGAATGGCCATCTGATCGCTTGCAGATAATTTGGTATGGTTTCATGAATTATCTTAGAAAGCACGGAGCTTTCTGAACAAACTTTATCTAGTTGTTCGATAAATGTCCTACATGTCCGCTTTTCAACATAATGATTTCCAACGTGTCCCGTCAATGGTTGCCGCTCGCCAAACGTAAGACCGCAGCTGTACAACGTAGCGTATGTGAAGCGGCAATTAAGAATAGAATTGCATGAGCCCTCATGCTGAGTGTTTAATTCCTGAAGATAGGTGCGTTTTGAAATACTGCAAACGTTTTTTGCACATCCAGTGACACGGCACTTGGAACTCTTTGGGCCGCAGTTATCGTTACATGTGCCTTTGAGATTGCAAAGCAATTCATGGAATGTTTGTGTCAAATAAACAATCCAAGAGAGACATTTATCAGCGTTCTTAGATGTGAAGATACCGTAGACATTGTGGCTCAATGAACTTATATATGCGCCACATTGATTATTTAATTCATAGCATGAATCGTCGGGAGTGGTTATACTATATAGGTCACCGGTGATATGATACAATGTGTAGTTTGAGGTTTGTTTTCGTTCGTACTTCAAATGTTCCTTGTATTTAAACATAGATGAACAATCATCCAGATGAGGAACGCGGCCGAAGGAGGCGGAACTGACAGCAGCATTAAACGGCGATACTCTATACTTCGCACTATCTTTGTCATTCTCATTCCAATTATTAAGGAGCCCATAATAGAAACCTAACATTTCATCGAGCGTTTTCGGGGCAGTAGGGAAAAGACAGCTAAGTCGACAGCATAGCTTACTAAGGCACGACGTTGAATCACCACAGAAATTGGCAAGCATATCTCTTAAATACAGGCCTGTTTTTCTGTGAGAGGCCATGGTGGAAATATCATTAAAGCCCATCGGGATCTTACAAGGGATAGTAAAGTGGCTGCCAACTGAACATTTCAGTTTACCGTTGGTTGATGATACGTCATGCGGCAGGAAGCCCACCAGCCCATCTTCCAAGAAGGATTGTAACGGCGATTTCACACCACAAGTAGGATGCTGGTTACATGTTTGGTCAGCCGTTTGGGTAGCACTTTGGTCACCTGTTTGCTTAGCGTTTAGCTTACACTCTTGGTCAGCACACTGTAAGCTGTTGCACATCCAATTGGATCCGCCTACACCGTTGCCGTATAGGCAATCGGACCAACCACTCAATGCAGTTGTATGGCAACATTGATCATATAGGAAATAGAGTTGTTGGTATATGTATTTGATGATGTCGAGTATCATACAGAGCAATGTTCCTAGATCACTGGGATATAGGAAGCCTTGTGGGTTTGCATTGAAATCGCAAGCGTATATTCCGTCAGAATGACCGTTGCCGAGAATGGATGTCAGGACGGAGTGGGATCGTGAACATACACGGTCGAGTCCATCGTTTATATTCTGGGCCGAGAAGCCTGATGGATATGCATTGAGAGTGTAATCAGATGGCTTAGGGACACTAATATTCTCTGGTTTTGAGAACAACGTTAATACGTGATTTTTAAGTGGGCTATAAACAGCGTTATACTCCAGGCCGCTACACCATTGGAGCATCTCATTTATAGAACATGGATGCCTTTTGGAGTTGAATGTAGAGTGGTGGCAAACACGGTAATAAGTTTCTGCGCAGCCAAAAAGCTGCGAAACGATACCGCTGTGTTTATCGATGGAACGCAGGTATTTCTCAAAATTGAGATGTCTGGATTCTGGGCCCGACTTAAATTCGTCATGCTGAATGAAACCGTTGTACATTCTCCCACCGACATACGTTCCGGTTTGTTTCTCCTTAAGGTTCTCAATCAGGTATCCCGATTTTTGTAGAAAATGTTTTAAATTATTATTATCTACTGAGGCACTGTCTCCCTCAATTTTCTGATCTTTCCAGTGCTTGAGACTTTTGTAAAACAGTTGATGTAATTCACTGAAGAGTGTACGCGAAATGGTGAGAAGTATTTTCGCACAATGTTCGTTGTTTATCGTCTCACTCCACGTTAGACCATCATACGCATTAATGTACGCCTTCCTTAGCTGACCAACAAACGCTGTGAGGCCTGCACTGATACAGTCCAATATTGGAGTATTTGGCCTGTCGAAGTTTTCTGGTTTCATCTCGGCGAGGGATGTGTCGAGCTTGTCAAGCAGCTGGGGTAACTTATGATCATACTTATTTTGTTCCCTAAGGTGTCTAAGTAGTGCGGTATGTGCGTCAAAGATTTTGGAATAGGTATTGGTGTACAGCGTCTCAGGGCCGGGAGGCACAGGATTCTTTTTCTTGTTTTCCTCATCATATACCCTCTTTATTTCATTCTGTAGTTACATGTTTACCGGGCCCCCAAAAGCGCTGAAGGCATAGGACAATGTCTCAACACTGTTATTGCCGTCAAACCTGTTCAGATTGTTCCCCGAGTTGTAACCAGAGAGTGTGTTCATGAAGCCTTTATACCCTATGTGTTTGTCGTCTTCAATTTGCTGAGGCAAAGGATTTAATTCGGTCTCCACCTTGTCGGCGAACTGATTAAGTAGCAACTGGATGGAGGTGACGTAGCGTTTGCGGACGGTCTTTAGGATGTTTGTTTTGGCGTTGTTAACTTGCGTAGTTAGTTCCCTGTTAATGGTTTCTATGGCTGATTTGGCATAATTTGGCACTTCGGTTTTGATCAGTTCCCCAACCTCTGAAATCCATGTTGCCACCTTTCCTGTCTTCAATCTTTCGACGTCCTGTTTGATACCTTCGAAAAAATTCCTAGTTCGATTTTTCAACACCTGCAATTCGTCCTTGGTGCCACCACCTTGTTCCGTGACAGCTTTACATATGGATAGAAGTCTCGAGGTTATTTCCTGAGCTTTTTGTTCTAGCTCTGTTTTGGCCAACTTGGCGTTCTCTTCCAGTATGTCTTCTAGTGGTTTCACCTTTTGGTTTATTGTGTCAACAACCTGTGTCTTAATTAGGTCATTAAGCTTACCGATTCCTTTCTCGGCGGTTTCCTTCAGGAGGTCGCGGAGATGAGTCTTGAAATCGTCCGCGATAGCCTTCGTGCTGAAAGCCTCTTGAAGTGGCTTGAGGAGATCTTCCAGTGGTGGGTTTGCTGATTCCCAATTTACTTTGGCATCTTTCAGAAAATATAGAACTGTTTCTAAATCGCTAGGAAGATCACTGTTTGAGCCCTGCTGAAGCACCTTCGAAAGCACATCCTGAAGCGTCGTACCAAACAGTCCCAATTTTTGCAAATTAAGACCAACGTGACGTTGCAAGGCCTCAACACCTTTGGTGCCAGCGCCATAGTCATCATCCACCCCTTGCATACCGGCCGCTACGGCGTCCCAAAGAGTCTTAACATATCCCTCCACGTTACTTTGAATCGCTCCCGAGAGTGGAGCAATCTGCTTATTTACGTCCCATTCACCACTTGTATACCTTACCAAATCATCTGCCGGCACTCCCATCTTTACAGTCTCGTAAAGTTCGGTGAGCTGATTCACCACACCGCTCTTTTCAACTCCTTCGGTTCCTTTAATGATTTTAAACGCCTCCTCATACTGCCTTTTCACTTCGTCAAATTTCTGCTTGAGTATTTCAGCCTGCCTTTCAATCTCCCTAGCAGCATTGTCAATAGCGCTCTTATTAACCGACTTAGTTGAACCGTCAACCTGTTCCAATGCTTTTTCTAGTTTTTCCTCCACTTCCTTTACAATACTTTCAGCATCCTTTTTCCACGTTTTTTCAACTCCAGTGACATACCCCGCTAGTTTCCACTCTACATGCTGAAGTCGGATTCTTATCACCTTCAACTTGTCAATCACGTGGTCTCTGAAGACTTTTATATCCGCCGCAACCTTGTTTTTGACGGCTATTTCCACCTTTCCAAGCTGCTCATTAACCCTTTTTTCGACCGCCAGACGGTCCTCCTCCTCCTTGTTGGACAAGGTGGCAAGACGGTCATATTCATAATCAATGTTACTAACAGCATGTTTCACTTTTATTGCGCAATTATTATTTAAGTCTAAAACGTTTTCAGCAGCATTATCAATGCCGCGGCGAAATGTCTCAGTATTCCTAAGACACGTCTTCAGCAGTCCATCAGCAGATTTCACTTGCTCATCTTCTGCCTTGGGATCTCCAGACACCTTCCCAACCTGAATTTTATTATACTCCACAATAAACTTACCGTCACCATCTTCTCTTAAAAAGCCTAGTAAATCTTCAATGGGCTCCTTCACAAGATTATTAGACTTTACAACACCCTCATTATACTGCTTCACCCCCTGGACCACTTCGCCAATCGCAATTTTAAAACCCTCTTTGCCAGTGTGTTTATGAGTGTTAAGAGACTCAATTGCTCTTGTAATCTTATCTTTATGTAAGCCTAATTTAGGCTGAATGTTATGTAAAACACCATGAAGGAAAGACATCACCCCGTCACACAGCCTGTCAAGGTCCGAGTACACGATGCCATCACCCGAGTAGCCTTTGGACTCTGGGTTGAAGCCTAGGAAATTTTCAAGACCGGAACACAATTTATCTAAAATATCTTTACATTCTCCATCATTTTTAGGTTTTTGAATAAGTGAAACAGCATATCCACAAATCCCACTTAGTGTCTCAAGAGACCTCTTGGAAGCATTATGAGAGTCAAGATCCTTATTAAGCTTGTCAATTTCAGAGGCATTTTGAAGAGACTGACCAGATTTTTTGGCATTTTCATCAGCTTTTTTAAGCTCAGAAATTCTTTGATTAAGCTCATCAATTTTTTGCTGAATTTGCTTTTTAGGCTGTACCAATTGAGATTGAAGTTGTGTAATGTTCCCATCAGCAAGGATGTTATTAAGCCTTTTATCATCTTTTTCAGCTTCCTTAAAATTATTTTGAACACTTTTAAGTTGTTCCTTAATGAACTTTTCATCATTATACTCACAACACCCCTTATCTCCGCAAGATGCTTTCAAAAGCTTATCAAGCTGATTTACATTACTTTGCAAACCCTTTACAAGTGCATTTTGAACTTCCTCACTTTTGCCAATAAATCCCATAAGTTGTCCAGCAAGCTGACCGAGAGAGATACGGCGGGCATCAATATCACCCAAGGCTTTATTTCTGGCATCCTCAGTAAGGTAATGAACTTCATTATAATGGTCATTGTATTTGGATTGAAGGTGGATTAAGGGAGAGTTAAAAGAAGTAAAGGGGAGTGAAACGGCACATTTTCAGGGCGATTTGAGGGAATTTGGGGAAAGGCGATTTTAGGTCAAGGAGGCAGCGGGGGAGGTGGGTGGACAGGGTGAGGGAGGTGAAGGGGCGAAAGAGGGCGATGAGGGAGGAAGATGGGTTGAGGTAAGGCGGTTTCGGAGGTGGAGGGGGAAGGCGGAAAATGAGGATTTAGGGTGAAGGACGCCGACGGAGGAGGTGATGGAGGGGGTGATGGAGAGGGAGCGACAGCGACCAGTGAAGAAGTTGGTTAGTGAGTGGGTGGTTGAGTGGGTGGTTGAGTGGGTGGGTGATTAGGTGAGTGAGTGGGTGGGTGGGTGGTTGAGTGGGTGACTGAGTGGGTGGTTGAGTGAGTATGTGAGTGTGTGAGTGGTTGAGTGGGTGAGTGGGTGAGTATGTGGGTGAGTGGTTGAGTGGGTGAGTGAGTGGTTGAGTGGTTGGGTGGTTGGGTGGTTGGGTGAGTGGTTGAGTGGGTGAGTGGGTGAGTGGGTGAGTGGGTGAGTGAGTGGGTGAGTGATTAGGTGGGTGAGTGGGTGAGTGTGTGGGTGAGTGGTTGAGTGGGTGATTAGGTGAGTGGGTGAGTATGTGAGTGGTTGAGTGGATGAGTGAGTGGTTGAGTGGGTGGTTGAGTGAGTATGTGAGTGTGTGAGTGGTTGAGTGGGTGAGTGGGTGAGTATGTGGGTGAGTGGTTGAGTGGGTGGGTGATTAGGTGAGTGAGTGGGTGGGTGGGTGGTTGAGTGGGTGAGTGGGTGATTAGGTGAGTGAGTATATGCGTGAGTGGGTGAGTGAGTGGGTGAGTGGGTGAGTGGGTGATTAGGTGAGTGAGTGGTTGAGTGTTTGAGTGGGTGGTTGAGTGAGTGATACACAGATCACACGTGAAGGCACGATTATGGTGAGAAGTACTTGACGTTGGCGAGTGCCCTGACGCGTGCGGCGGCGAGCAGCGACTGCGCGGCGATGCGGTGCGATGAGGGCGAGCGCAGGTGGGAGCGTATCCTCAGGACGTCGAGGCGGACGACGGCGATGTGCAGCAGGTAGAGGAGCGAGAGCGACCAGAGGGCTAGTAAGAGGTATGAGAAGAAGTTGAGAAATGTTGAAGGATTATTTTAGGCACATTTTCAGGGTGATTTGGGGGAGTTTGGGGAAAGGCGATATTAGGTCAAGGAGGCAGTGAGGCAGCGAGGGAGGTGGGTGGACAGGGTGAGGGAGGTGAAGGGGCGAAAGAGGGCGATGAAGGAGTGAGATGGGTTGAGGTAAGGCGATTTAGGGGGTGGAGGGGAAAGTGGAAAATGAGGATTTGGGTGAAGGACGCCGACGGAGGAGGTGATGGAGGGGGTGAAGGGAGGGAGCGGAGCGACCAGTGAAGGAGGAGGTGGTTGAGTGAGTGGGTGGGTGGTTGAGTGAGTGAGTGGGTGGTTGAGTGGGTGGTTGAGTGGGTGAGTGAGTGGGTGAGTGAGTGGGTGAGTGGTTGAGTGGGTGAGTGGGTGGGTGAGTGGGTGGGTGGTTGAGTGGGTGGGTGAGTGGGTGGTTGAGTGAGTGAGTGATTAGGTGGGTGAGTGGGTGGGTGGTGAGTGGGTGAGTGAGTGAGTGGGTGGTTGGGTGAGTGGGTGAGTGGTTGGGTGAGTGGTTGAGTAAGTGAGTAGGTGGGTGAGTGGTTGGGTGATTAGGTGAGTGAGTGGGTGAGTGGGTGAGTGAGTGATTAGGTGAGTGGGTGGGTGAAGGAGGTGGTGAGTGAGTGGGTGAGTGGGTGAGTGGGTGGTTAGGTGGTGAGTGGGTGAGTGGGTGAGTGAGTGGGTGATACACAGATCACACGTGAAGGCACGATTATGGTGAGAAGTACTTGACGTTGGCGAGTGCCTTGACGCGTGCGGCGGCGAGGAGGGACTGCGCGGCGATGCGGTGGCTTGAGGGTGGCCTTAAGTGGGAGCGTATCCTCAGGACGTCGAGGCGGACGACGGCGATGTGCAGCAGGTAGAGGAGCGACAGCGACCAGAGGGCTAGCAAGGTCCATATGAAAGGTGCGCGAATTGTGAACATGAAGTTGTCAATGATTTCAAATAGAGTTTTGAAATAATGCGATTGTATAACGCTCTTCAAATGTTTTGCAAAGGTGGCGCACGTCCTTCGTGTATTCAGTGCATTGATTGCAATGGCATCGCCAAACATGAACCCACATTTATACAGTGTTGGCGTCACACCTTTACATGTCACAAGTGATTTGCAGTGACAAGGAGTCTCGAAACTTCCATGACTCCCTGGTGTACAGGCTCCGTGATGTAGACAGCGACGACATCCCCATTCCCTGCAGAAAATATTTCTGAAGGCATCATATAAAGACAGAAGATACCTCCAGAAATCCCATGGCAAGTAAACCGCCCATGATAAATAGGTGTTAGAATGTTTGTTGGCAAGGTGGTGATAGGCATCACTATAAAGACTCGAAAGGTAGGGAGCGCATTCTATCCTTTTTATGTTGCTGTTGCAGAAGTCAGTAATTGTGAGATTCATCAAATGAGGATGTTGGCATTCGGAATGCCTTACAGAGTCAGATCCATATGCGTTGGCAAGGGCATTTGTAAAGCGATCCGCATTTTCGAACAGCTTGATGGATGTGTTAGTGATAGATGACTCAAATGACGCTTGAAGGGTGAATTTGTTCATGGTGGCTTTCTTAGATTGGGAACTATGAAGCCAGCCCTTAACTAAATACAACGCAAAACCAAAATGCTCTGGCAATGTAGACGGTGGCTTAGGCGATAGGCAGAACACGGCAGATATATTGTTAGTTTCAAACAAGTCACCAAGTATGTCGCATATGTCTTTACCCGTTTTAATACTGCCAGAAAATTCCCTGAATCCCAGAGGTGTCAAGCAAGGCATTCCGGGTGTACTACCAGGGCACGATTTACATACAGACTTGCAGCCAACCGAGTTGAGTTGGTGCGGCAAGTGACCGGGTAAGGTATCATTTAGGTAGCTCATAAGTGGTGATCTAGGTTGGCACGTTGGTTGGTCATTTGGATGACCATTTGGTTGGCACATAGGTTTAGACGTTGACTGTCCATTTGCCTTGTCGGTTGAATGCGCTTTGCAGGGCTGATTGACTGTAGTAATGTCCCTGCCGTACTGGCACTTCAACCAACCATGCTCAGACGCCGGGTTACTACATTGACCAAACAAAAATCTAAGTGGAGGGAATAGTTTACGGAGGATATCGAGCAAGAGTTGAAAGCATTCCTCACCTCTTGTGGGATATTTGAATTTGAGGGAGTTAGTAGAGAACTCACAGGCGTATGTCGTATAGGCGTCTCCGTGGCCCGCAATAGTAGTGAGGACAGGGTAGGATTTAAAACATATCTCTTCAATAGTTGTACAAATGTCGCTGGCGCTAATGGTGGACGGTGAGGCATCGATAGGCTTAAGGGTTTTTTTCGATGGGTCTCCATCAATGGGCACCATGAATAATTCGTTAACGTGATCTAAAAGTGGTTTGAATACGGGACTGAACTGTAAACCGCAAACCCAAAGTAACATTTCATAAACGGAGCACGGTATCCTGGGTGATTTAATATGCGTATAATGGCATACATTGAAGTATTTCTTAAGGTAATCATATAGGCTTGGGATGACACCGTTCTCGCCCGTGTATTCGAAGGGTATGTCATCGGATGTAGGAGCGATGGCAGATGCTTTAAGTGACTGTTTATTAGTCACAAACAAATTATGAGTTGTGTCGTTGAGTTTGGTAAGAATATTCTGACCCGTGAACCCAGACTTGTGATTCAGTTCGCCGTGCTCCACTTTACCGGCAAGGCCGGTATCGTAACCATTATCATTAAAGAATAGTCTATGTAAGCTATGGTGGGACTCTTTGGAATCATATATGTTATAAGAGTTCCATTTGCCGTCTGATTCATGAAGCTCTCTTCTGAGCTGTGTTAAGGTGTGATATACGGTGGGCACAATGGTGAGCACAATTTTCGCGCACTTTGTACCATCAGAGGTTATGCTCTTAGTTATGTCGTTATATATTGTGATAATCTCACTATCGTACACTGATACATACGCCTTATCTAGCTCCCCGTGCATATCTGTTATGCCTCCTTTGAGGAACTGCAGCAGCGGGTTGCTTTGGTTGGCGTACGATTCAGGGTGTATTTCGGTGAGTAAAGTGTTAAGTGCGGATAAGTTTGTGACGAAGTTTCTGTTGTATTTGGTGAGGTCAGTGAATAATGTTTTAAGTGTTCTGGAAAGTAAGGAGAGTTTGTCCGGAGGCATGATGTCAGACCTCTTCATCAGCGTTTTGGGAGGTCAGTGAAGAACTTCTGAACCTTGGGAGATAAATCTCCCAGTTTAGCATTTTCACCCAATTCTTGTATTTTACTGTCCGTCAATTTCTGCTCGAGCACTCCCATGAAGCCTTTAAAGCCCTTGTCGGCATCTTTTGTTATGTCTTTTGGGAGCGTTCCGATTTCCTTTTCTACTTTCTCGGCGAACTTTGTGAGCTGCGACTTGATGAATTTGACGTAGCGGGATTTCAGGTCGTTGGTGATGTTGTCTCTGACACTGTCAATTGTGAAGGTGACAAATGCGTTGAGTTTTCTGATTGTTTTCTTCTTTTCCTTATCGGCTTCAACAGAAAAGTTTTCGGCATCGTTGATTGCCTTCTTCAAATTATCTTCTCTAAGCTGATTAAGATTATAATGAACTTTTTGGAAGCTTGTCTGCTCACCCTTTAGAGTGATGCCAATTTTTCTTTTCAACTCCGTTATGTTCTTTTTAGCGCTATCGTGGCCGGTTTCTGCAAATTCCGTGATAGCTTGGCATAAACTGTCGAGATGCCGGTAGGTAGTTTGTAACTGCGTCTCGGCTTCGCCGTTGAGACTCTCAATTGTCTTCAAAGCCTCTTTCACCTGCGTCTCAATCTTCTTGATGGCCTGGGGGAGGGAGCCTTCGCCTGAAGCGCCGGTTAGCTGACCGTCTGGAGAGACGACCTGCGATGTATTTACACTCTCAAGGTAACCCTTGAATTTGTGTTCAACAAGCGCAACTTTCTCTGCGTGACTAGATGCAGCTGGTATATTTTTTGTATCATTCACACCAATCTGCCTCTGCAACATGGTATCAGCATAACCACTAAATGTGTTATAAAGGTTTTTGCTACCGGTGGAGCCGGACCCAGCGACCGGTTGACCGCTTTCGCCGAGCTGCCTTTGAACATCGATGCCAAGCCCCTGCGCTTTGGTTATAGCCGCCTTCAAGTTCCCAATCTGCGACGTATCGATAAAGTTCTGAAGCTCCCCAGCTGCTCCCTCAGCCGCCTTCATCACCGCTGTGAGGATTGTTTTGAGGGCGAACGTGAAATTAATATCGTCATCAGGAAGCGATAAAGCTTTTACTTCCGGCTCACTCAGAATTTTCTGGGAAATAGCTTTGAAATTCTTCGTTGGATCAACAGCCGAGGCGTATGCCTCAAGATATCGCTGGATACTGGTAAAAATTTCATTAACGTCATTGCTTTTTGAGTTTATAATGGGCTTCGCATCAATTTTTGAAATCTGACTACTTATGGTCCTTATTGCTGCGTCTTTTGTGTTTTTAAGAGGCGTACCAAGATACATATCAATAATCTTAGTCCCCAGCAGTCCTGTAACCATCTTCTCAATAGCCCCTTGGAATCGCTGCTTGAAATCTTTAGAATATTCGCCGATTTTGCTAACAATTGTACCTAAGTCCTCTTTAAGATCACGCCCTTCCACCTCATGAATCGGGTTAACAAGCTCTTCTACCTTCTTCCTAACCAGTTCGGCAAAACCTCCTTTCAGATAATTATTCATCTGGGCTTTGATCTCATCTCTTACTGTTCTTAAACTTGCCCTAAGTGCATCGTCCATCGTTTTGACTTCTGTTAATGCCAAGCTTACCAGCCTCTTCACTGCCTCCTTAGCCTTGAACGCCGCCTGATGAAGATCGTCAGCCTTCCTTTGCAATTTCTGTGCGGCATCTGTCACGCCTCCCTTATCACCTGCTTTATCCGACTTATCCTCCCCCTGCAACTTCCGAACAATCTCCGTCACCTTCCCATCTGCCAGACGCCTCACTTCTCCAGCCGCCTGAATCCATTTCTGCAATTTCTCAATATACTCCGTCAGACACTTATTAATGTTCTCTAACATTGTTTTAATCTTCTTAATCAGCTCTTGCAAATCTTTCACCAGCGTTGTTACATCACCACGGATCCTTTTTTTCACATCGTCCCTAAATTTCGTAAGCCTGGTTTTAACCAAATTCAATGTCTCATCCAAATCCTTTTTCTCTTTGCCAGACAATTTACTCAACGTATCATATGCGTATTGAACATTATCAATAGCACTCTCAACTTTTAATTTTAAATCATAATTTAATCGATCTACGTCATTCCTAGTCGACTGTATGCCACCTAAGAAAGTCCTAGATGCGCCAATGCATCCATCTACCAATCCTTTTGCCTTGTTCACTTGATCATCATCGGTTTCCGCAGTAACACTATTAGCATTAATTTTAAACATTTCGTTATCAAACTCACTACCATTCTTTACGTGATTATATAGCCCAGTTATAACACCCTTCATCCTCTCATTACTCTCCCTCACCAAAGCATTATACTCCCCGACACCAGCGGCCACCTCAGTAATGACACTCTTAAAACCCTTATGGCCTGAACATAATTTACTAAAAAGCTCACCAATCACACCATTTAGCTGCTGTTTACCAACGCTGTAAGGCTGTTTAGCGTGGACATCTTTAAGCACCCCGTGCAAGAACGCCATCACCCCGTCGCAGAGCCTGTCAAGGTCGGAGTACACGATTCCTTCCCCGGTGTAATTACCATTACTGTGGCCGAGAAAATTTTCGAGGCCTGTGCAAAGGTAATTTAATAATGTTGTTGAAGGATTATTTTAGGCACATTTTTAGGGCGATTTGGGGGAATTTGGGGAAAGGCGATTTTAGGTCAAGGAGGCAGAGGGGCAGCGAGGGAGGTGGGTGGACAAGGCGAGAGAAGTGAAGGGGCGAGAGAGGGCGATGAAGGGGAGAGATGGGTTGAGGTAAGGGGATTTTGGAGGTGGAGGGGGAAAGTGGAAAATGAGGATTTGGGCGAAGGACGCCGACGGAGGAGGTGATGGAGGGGTGAGGGAGGCAGGGAGCGAAGCGACCAGTGACAGAGGGAGGTGAGTGAGTGATTAGGTGAGTGAGTGGATGGGTGAGTGGTTGGTTAGTGAGTGGGTGGTTGAGTGGTTAGGTGGTTGAGTGGTTGAGTGGTTGAGTATGTGAGTGGGTGGGTGAGTGGTTGAGTGGTTGAGTGAGTGGGTGAGTGGGTGGTTAGGTGAGTGAGTGAGTGGTTGAGTGGTTAGGTGGTTGAGTGGTTGAGTGGTTGAGTGAGTGGGTGATTAGGTGAGTGGGTGAGTGAGTGAGTGGTTGAGTGGTTGAGTGGGTGGGTGAGTGGTTGAGTGGTTGGTGGGGTTGAGTGAGTTTAAGGTTGGTTAAGTGAATGAATTAGTTGAGTGGTAAGTGGTGGGTGGGTAAGTGAGTGAGTAGTGGGTGAGTGAGTGAGTTAGTGAGTGGGTGAGTAAGTAAGTAAGAGTGGGTGAGTGGGTGAGTAAATGATTGAAGTTGAGTGGTTGAATGCATTGAGTGAGTGGTAGAGTGGTGAGTGAGTGAGTGGTTGAAGTGGTTAAGTATATATGTGAGTGAGTGGGTGAGTGGTTGAGTGGTTGAGTGAATGGGTAGGTAAGTGAAAGTAAGTAAGAATGGGTAAGTGGTTAAATATATAAGTGGTGGTAAGTGGGTTAAATGAATTGAGTGAAGTGAGTAGAGTGGTTAGGTAAGTGGTTAAATGAATTTAAGTGATTAAGTAGGTTGAATGGGTTAAATGAATTGAGTTGAGTAAGTAAATGAAGTGAGTAAGTAAGTTAAATGGTTGAGTGATTAGAGTAAGTGGTTAAATGGGTTGAGTAAGTGGTTGAGTGGGTAAGCAAGTGGGTGGTTAAGTGAAATGGGTAAGTGCATTGAGTAGTATATGAGTGGGTAAAAGTGGTGAGTGAATTGGTAAGTGAGTAAGATTAAGTAGATTGAGTAAGTGATTGAGTGGTAAGCAGAGTAATTAGTTAAGTGGGTGAGTGGTGAGTAAGTAAATTGAGGTAAACAGTAAGTGGTAATTAAATGAGTAGGTAAATGCAGTGAGTATTAAGTGAAGTGAGTGGTGGGTGATTGAGTAGGTAAAATGGGTAAGTGAGTAAGTGGGTGATTAGGTGAGTGAGTATGTGAGTAAGTGGTTGAGTAGTTGAGTGGGTGGTTGAGTGGGTGGTTGAGTGGGTGGTTGAGTGGTTGAGTGGGTGGTTGAGTGGTTGAGTGAGTGGTTGAGTGGGTGAGTGAGTGATACACAGATCACACGTGAAGGCACGATTATGGTGAAAGTACTTGACGTTGGCGAGTGCCTTGACGCGTGCGGCGGCGAGGAGGGACTGTGCGGCGATGCGGTGGCTTGAGGGTGATCTCAGGTGGGAGCGTATCCTCAGGACGTCGAGGCGGACGACGGCGATGTGCAGCAGGTACAGGAGCGAGAGCGACCAGAGGGTGAACAGAGTAATGGAGAATTCTTCTCTTATAGCCCATATATATTTATCGATGTCTTCGATGAGTTTTACAAGTGCACATCCTTCGCCGATTACTTTCTTCAAAACGTGGCAAAAGTCTCTGCACGTACGTTTAGTTGTTTCACCAGCCAGCTTTGCCACGTGCTCATGTACAAACCCGAATTTGTACAGTATTGGACGGGTATGCGAGCACTTTGCAATTGAATCGCAGGACGCATCGTGAGGTGACGTTGCCGATTTCTCGGTAACAGTACATTTGGGGGGGCATTTAGCAATGCGGCATTTTGGATTTTCACCACCGCACTTACTACTGCACTCTTCATATAACTGATGCAGTAAATTATAAAAAGTTTCCGTGCTATACACTATCCACGATAGATATTTGCCACCATGTTCTTTAGAATACATACTGCTAATATCAGTATTTAGAGCATGTAGATAGGGACCACATTTACCTTGTAGCTGAAGAGCAAACGAGACTGACAAGATCGGCGTTGGCCTGCTTATGAGGGTGACTACCGCCGAATATAGAATGGGCGTTCAAGCCTTCGTAAGGACGTTTGAAATTGGCCTTACTAATAGCCTCTTCAAATGCACCCTTCCTATGTGGTGTGTTCCTATTCCAGTCACTAAGGAAATTGTGGTAGAAACTAAACATATCGCCTAGTGTCTTTGGAGCGGTAGGCAAGAGACAATTCAGTTGACCGCAGAGCTTAGTTAGGGAGCATGATCAATGCCACAAAACTTCTCAAGCACCTTTGGAGATACTCCCCTTCTTTCGTGTGTGACGCTTTAATACCAATATCTACAAAACCCATGGGAGTGAGGCACAGTTTGCCAAAGTGATTGCTAACTGAGCATTTCACTCCGCAGCCAACATTGGAAAATGTATGAGGCAGGAAGCCGGGGAGACTATCTTCAAGGTACGACTGAAGTGGCGACTTTACACCGCACTTGGGATGTTGCTTACACTTTTGGCTAGTACTTTGGTCAGCCTTTTGGGGACACTCTTGGTTGGCACATTGGTTGTCGTTGCATTGCCATCCAGAGTTGCCGACACCCTGACCGTACGAGCAGTTTGACCAACCGCTGTAATCGGTATTGTGTGAACACTGTGTAAGCAGGAAATAAAGTTGGTAGAATAGTCTATTCATTATATCTACCATCATACCTAAGCAGGCATTGGCACTGCTAGGATATGCTAGGTTAAGGGTGTTGTTGGAATGATCACAGGCATATACACCGCCTGCGTAACCGTGGCCGAGGACACCGGTCAATACGTCATAGGATTGTGCGCAGACATCGTTGAGAGACGTTGCTAAACTACTGTATGTTATTGGTTGCGGATAGGCGTCAAATGATTCTTCGCCGAGATCTGTCACTTCAATCTCATCGTCGTCTGCGGGCTTCTTACTTGGGCCTTCGAGCAGCGACGGCAACACGTCATGGAGCAAAGAGTCATACACGGAACTGTACGGGAGGCCTGAGAACCATGCGAGCATTTCGTAGATGGATGACGGATGTTTCTTGGAGGAGAATGTGGCGAAGTGACACACTTCATTGTACGTCTCCAGGTGTTCGAATAATTTTGCCACAGGACCTTCATGGCGTTTGAAGTAATCAGTGCATTGCTCAATGGATTCAAACTCAGTTGGCAGCTTATTAAATTCACCATATTTGTCGAAGCCGTTAAATAATTTTCCTGTCACACCCAGCGTCGACAGCGTTTTGTTGAGATTCTCAATCTCGAATCCTTGTTTAATAAGATATATTCTTAATGCATGTCTGCCTTTTACAGTACCAGTTCCGTCAATTTTAAGTTGGCTCCAATGCTTAACGCCGTGATGAAACAGATAGTACAGTTCATTGAACACCGTGGATAACAATGTGAAAAACACCTTTGCGCATCTGTTGGCGTCATCGGTTAGGGCTTTAGTTGCAGAGCCATCTGGAGTTGACGCTTTTTTGCTGGTATCGGCTTGCTCCCACTCTATCTTCTGGCCGTCGTACCTGGAGATGTACACGTTGCCAAGCACTTTGACCAACTCTCCACAGCCGCCGGAGATGCCACTCAGCATTCCTGTGACCGGGTTGGGGAAGCCGTCTAGTTTCAGCTCGGAGAGTGTGGCAGTGAGTTCAGCGAGCTTAGTGGGTAAGTTGTGGTCGTAGTGATTTTTACTGTGAATGTGACCAATTAGCGTGCTAAGTTTGGAGTATACATTATTAAGTTGTTTGCTATACGGGTCTTGAGGTTTCTGAAGCGAAGGATTTTTCTTGTGTTCCTCCTCCTTAAGGCGGTCTATTTCCCTGCTGATATATGTGTTGAGGGGCCGAGGAATTTTTCGAGGCCATGGCAGACAGTCCGGAGATCGATGCCATCTTTAAGCTTGTTAATATTGTCGCCGGAGTTAGGGCCATAAAAGGCCTCCATGAACCCTTTCAGGCCGATGTGTTTGTCGTTGTCAATCTCCCCCGGCAACTCTCTGAGCTCCCCCGTCACCTTGGCGGCGAACTGCCGGAGCGCGAACTTGAGGGCCTCGGCGTACTGCCTGCGCGCGTGGGTGGTGAGTTTGTCGGTGGCTTGTTTTATGTCCTTCCTGACGTCTTCCTGCAGTTGTTTGATGTAGTGATTTTGGGCTTTTGTCAAGTACGCAAGCAGATCGTTGGTCTTCTGAATAGGCTTTTCAGCCAGTTCGTTTCGGAGATTGGTGATATTGCTGTGTATTTTATGAATGCTGTTCGCATCCTTACCAGGTTGTGTAAAGTATTTGTTCTTTAACTCGTTCAACTTTTTCAGCGCACTGTTAGGATCGGTTTCGGCTGCATTCTTAACGGCACGACATAAGAGACTAAGATTGTCCTTAACCTCTCTCAACCTTTCTTCAACGTGAATATTAATATTGCCAACATCATCCAGCGCATTCTGCACTTGTGTCCTGATGTTCTTGATGGCCTTGGGAAGAAGACCGTCTATGGGTTCTGGGTTGCCGGACGTGGCGGGCGGATTTTTTTGTGTTTGGTCAACGTAGCTTTTGTATCCCTGGAACTGTGTTGGACCTTTTGGAAGGGTAACAGTTACACCTCCATCCTCCTCCCCAACCTGCTCATCCAGTATCCCAGAAATCTTGGTGCTGAGGGCTGATCGAATGGGATCGAGAATTTTGTTAGCATCAGGAGTTTCGCCATTCAACTTCTTGGTCGCCTCACTAATCCAGTGCAAAGCATTATGTATTCTATAGGCAACAGCTTTCTGGGCATCCTCTGGCACACTGCCAAACGCTTTTTCAAAATGACCCAACTCGTCACCTAATTTCTGTTTAAGTTCGGTAAAACCATTCTTTTTAGAATCCCAAGCGTCCTTACCAGCCTCCTTAATTCCCGACTCCAATGCGCTCTTCAGTGTATCAAAATACGTCGACAGTCCCTGAATAATCCCGTCTCTAACACCTTTCAAATCCGCCATAATCTTCCCGTTCATCAACACAACCTGCTTCAACGCCTCAGTAACTTCTTTTCTAACCTCATCCAGACCCGTGTTTCCAGCTGTCACAAGCTCATTTATCATGATACCAATCTGATCTATTGCCGCTTTCATTCGACCAGGATTGTTTGTTACAGCTTCCTCGTTCACTTCATATAATATCTTTTTCACCATCTCCAACGCCTTGTCAACTGCGGAATTTGCGCTGTCAATCCATCTTCCCAATTCAGCTACATAGTCGTGGAGACTTTTACTAATTTTCTTAAGCTCCGCCAATATAGGCTCCACTTGCTCCCTAACCTTTGACACAAACAGTTTTACCTGTGTGTCAATTTTACAATCAACGTCTGATTTCAGAGCTCTCATCACTTCTTCAATTTTCTTAATCGCCTGCGTCATTTCGGTATGCTCTTGCCCCTTCACCCTCCCCAACCGCGCACTCTCATACTCCACCGTCTTACGCACGCTCTCAAGCTTATCTTTTAATGTAGCATTTAGGTCGGAAATTGCGTTGTTAAGTGCATTTTTATCTATAGTGATGTCAAGTGCATTAGTGAATTTTTTAGCGTGCTCTTGACATTCTTGCACCTTGAGATTAATAGACTTCTCAGCTTGCTCCACCTTCACGGCCGTACTTAATGCAGTCTCTGAGAATTCTACATCTAGAGTCTTCTGCTCGTACCGTTTGACGGCAACCTGCAACAAATTAATTTGTTGACTTACCTTAGAATTTGAGGCGGCGACTTCATTATTGTACCTCCTGACACATCCCTCCACCGCGGCTATCGCCGCCCTGTATTTAGCAATACCATTATCATTTGTGACTTTAAGTGAGTTAAGTGCGCTATCTAAAGTGTCTTTATGCTGGCCTAATTTAGGCTGAATGTTATGTAAAACACCATGAAGGAAAGACATCACCCCGTCGCAGAGCCTGTCAAGGTCCGAGTACACGATGCCATCGCCAGTGTAATTACCATTACTGTGGCCGAGAAATTTTTCGAGGCCTCCACAAAGGTTATTTAATTATGTTGTTGAAGGATTATTTTAGGCACATTTTTAGGGCGATTTGGGGGAATTTGGGGAAAGGCGATTTTAGGTCAAGGAGGCAGCGAGGGAGGTGGGTGGACAGGGTGAGGGAGGTGAAGGGGGGAAAGAGGACGATGAAGGAGGTGATGGGTTGAGGTAAGGGGATTTCGGAGGTGGAGGGGGAAGGTGGAAAATGAGAATTTGGGCGAAGGACGCCGACGGAGGAGGTGAGTAAGGGGGTGATGGAGGAGGGAGCGAAGCGACCAGTGAAGGAGGAGGTGAGTAGATGAGTGGGTGGTTGAGTGGGTAGTTGAGTGGTTGAGTGGGTGGTTGAGTGAGTGGTTGAGTGGGTGAGTGGTTGAGTGGTTGAGTGGTTGAGTGGGTGGGTGGGTGAGTGAGTAGTTGATTGAGTGGGTGGGTGGGTGAGTGAGTAGTTGATTGAGTGGGTGATACACAGATCACACGTGAAGGCACGATTACGGTGAGAAGTACTTGACGTTGGCGAGTGCCTTGACGCGTGCGGCGGCGAGGAGGGACTGCGCGGCGATGCGGTGGCTTGAGGGCGATCTCAGGTGTGAGCGTATCCTCAGCACGTCGAGGCGGACGACGGCGATGTGCAGCAGGTACAGGAGCGACAGCGACCAGAGGGCTAGTAAGAGGTATGTGAATGGGAGACGTATCTGCCATAGGAATTCTGGAATGGTACGATAAATTAATTTTGCAAGCGGCGCTTCATCTGCTTCGACATCGTTGAGAACCGTTGCTAATGCCTTACAGAAATCTCTACATGTACGTTTGGAATTTACATGTTCACTACCGCTCATTTTCGATGGACTACCGAAATAAAATCCATATTTAGAGAATATTTTAATAGTGTGGGAGCATTTGAAAATGGATTTACATTCACTATTGTGCCTTGCAGTCCAATATTTAGCAACTTCCTTCTCGTACTCCCCAGTATGTTTCTTAGATTCGTCGGGGTATATTACTTCACATTTTTTATCGCAGCATTTTTGATAACATGTGGTTCCTCTCTTGTCGCACATTTCACAACACTCCTTATACAACGTCTTAAGGAGATCATAAAAGGTCTGTGTCAGATATACAATCCACGACAGATACTTGTCGGCATTCTTCTCGGCGAATGTGCTACAGATGTCACGAGAATGTGGTCTCAGATATGGGCCACAGGGAAGGGTTGGAGAAGATGAATCACTCTTGCAGTTAACAAGGGTGTAAAGGTCACCGGTGCGATGCGTCATTTCTTCCTCGGACGTATGGTCGCTGCTTTTGAATAGCGGAGCAATGTCTAAGGTTGCGTCGTTACGTTTGAAGTTAGCTCCACTAACGGCATTGGTTAATACAGCGTTTCCAGGCTGACCCCAGTGAGCAATGAAGTTATAGTAAAAGGCAAACATAGCACCTAAGCTCTGCGGTGGACGAGGGAGGACGCAGTTTAGTAGAGCGCATAAATTGCTTAGTGGTGATGAATTGATTCCACAGAAACGAAGGAGTGCTCTGATGATGCGCTCTCCCGTACTAGTATGAGACGCCAGAGTACTAATGTCCACAAAGCCCATGGGTGTTCTACACGGCACACCAGGGGACAGCTTAGAACAACTAGAACATGACAAGCTGCTACCCCTACTGGATACAGTATGAGGCAAAAAGCCTTGTAAACCGTCCTCTAGGAACGATTGTAAAGGCGATTTGACGCCGCACTTGGGGTGTTGCTCACATATTTGGTTAGGTGTTAGGTTAGCACTTAGGTTACCGCTTTGGTCAGCGCGTTGGTTAGGGCTTAGGTTACACGTTTGGTTAGCACACAGCTTATCGTTACACTTCCAACTGGAGCCACCGACACCGTTGCCGTAGTAACACTCACGCCAACCGTTATACATATCACCGTAATAACATTGATTATACAAGAAGTAAAGCTGGCAGTGCAGGCGTTGGAGAATGTCGAATAACGTACAAATTAATGTGTTCATGTTCGTAGGATACGATAGACCATGTCGGTTCGTGTTGTAATCGCACGCATATACACCGTCTGCGTGGCCATGTCCGACGATTGCGATGAGTGTGTCTTCGGCCAGGTGACATACTTCCACAAGGGTCTGTGAGAGCCCTGTAGCTGTGATCTTCCTTGGGTAGGCGTCCAATGAGTCGGGATCGTCGTTAAAAGATACAACCAAAGGAGCGTTGTCCGTGTCCTGCTCCTTAGGCTTTTCGAATAAGTCAGCAAAACCACCAAGTGATAGTGATTGGTAGACGGGATGATGGGTGAGACCACAAAGCCATTCAAGCATGTGACTGATGGTGGTAGGGTACGTAGGTGCGTTAATGTGTTTAAGGTGGGAAGCTTTGTAGAAGTCGAGGAGGCAGTTGCAGAATTTATTGAGTGCGCCTTCATCCGCTTTATCGTCTAGTGTAGTGTACACGTGTTTGTCAGCAGAACCGACAAGAAGTTCATAAATTTTCTGTCCACGCATAGCATCATTGTTTTGCAGCTCACCGTCCTGACTCTCATAATCCGAGGAAACCGCATAGCCTTGGCCGGCTAAGAATTTCCCAAGTGGATTGTCAACGCGTAAATTAATTTGCGACTCCCTCCAATTTCTCCGGCTATCAACATGACATTTTCTTGTCAATTTGTTCAGGTTGTTGTTAAGGACGGGAAGCGTAGTTAGGAACAGTTTTGCACATTTCGTAGCTTCATCCGTCAATTTGTCTCCTTCCTCCCACTTGAAATCCTTCGACGCACCGTCATACTTATTCATATACGCCTTGTCCAGCTCTGCAACCAAAGCCGGGAAGCCAGCTCGCAAAGCGTTAATCAGCAAAGGACACTCACATTCGCCGTGTGATTCTGGATTCAAGCCGCTGAGTGATTTGCTAAGTAATTCTATATTAACACTAAAGTCATGGTTAAAGCGCAGTGAACCTACAAGCCCATTCAGTGATGCTGTCAGAGCCTCTTTGGAAGGCGCAACTTTATCGTAGTCGGACTTGAAGTCCGGTTGATTTTGCAGGTCATCGAAGAAGAGTCTGAATGCGGTGTTTAATGTCATAGCCGCTTGGCTGAGCGGAGATTTTGGTTTGTTCTTGGATTTCTCCGGTGAACCCGGATTGGGAAGCGCTGCAGGGGATTGCGTTGGCGAAACGTTTGCAATTCTTTTAGCCGTCTTAATAAATCTCTCTTCCATCTTCTTCATGAATCCTCTTACGCCCTTGTCAGCGTCTTCCGTAATTTGCTTCGGAAGCTCGTGGAGTTCCTCGCTGACTTTGCTTGCAAAGGCCAGCAGCATGTCTCTCACTGACGTCACGTAGAGCTTTTTTGCCTGGGTGGTGAGTTGCTTTTTTGCATCGTCGATCTGTTGTCTGACGTCTCCTTCCAGTGAGGCGATGCATCGGCTGGAGAAGAGTCCGAGTTCTAAAGTAAGCAGTGTCTTTGTGGCCTCGATGGCTTTGGTCAAATTACCAATTTGCAGATCACTAATGTTCTTCCTGATCGCTTCCAGTTTCTTCTCAATGTTATCTTCTTTGAGAATATCCGAATTACCTTTCACGTCTTGCGCGGCCTGTCTGATTGCGCTGCACAATTTGTCGACATTGGATGTGAGATCTCTGACACTGCTCTCTCGCAGCCCCTCGATCTCCGTCTGGATCTTCGCGAGGCCTTGGACAGTGGTGGACTCGGGGGGTGGATTTAGCTGGGTGGTAAGTTGATGCTCCTGACTTTTCGTAATCATGCTGTTCAGTTCGTTTAGGTAGTCCTTGACGCCGTCTGGTTTACTGGACTTTTGCTTCTTCTTCTCATGCTCCACCATCCCGGCGATCTGTTCGAGTTGCGTCTCGACTGTTGAAAACAGGGTTGGAAAGGTGTTACCTTCTATTTTGTTGCCTTTGTGATCCTTACCGTCAAGTTTTTGAAGACCCTCTTGAGTGTTAATTTGTCCTAGTGGGCCAGTTATCAGTTGAATGCCTTCTCCGCCTTCATAGTTTTTGGTGGGATTTGTAATGCCACTGCCAGCAACATCTCCACCTTTGGCGCCATACATCTCGACAATCTTCCCCTGGGCGTCCGAGGACATGGCGCCGAAGGCGGATTCGGGCGCGTCTGAGGATGATATATTCAGCGAAGTTCTAAGACCTCCTAGCACCTCCATCATATTTTTGAAAGCGCTGTAGTTAGTTATCCAAGTGCCGGTAAAACCTTTAGCGGCGCCATTTGCACCTTTTAAAGCTTCCTTAGCGGCACTAATCCACGCTTGCAACTGGGCACTTTTCAGACCCGTTACATCACCACCATTTTTAGCCGCCTCTTCCCACTTAGCCCCTGCCAACTCCATAAAATATTGCCTAACCGTCTCTTTAATCGCCTCCCTCAGTGCCTTCAAATCCTCCATAACAGCTTTCTTCACCTTCTCCAACGCCTGAGTTGCCGCAGTAACCCTTCCACTAATATGCGTATGCGCCGCCGTCATATCCTTAAAAAGCTTAGCAGCATCCGCCCGCAGCTTCTCGGCGGCCTTCCCAATCTCCGTCTCCTTAACTCCTGAGTCTTTATGAACTCTCTCCAAAATTGCATCACACTGCTTGTTTGCCGCCTCCACAACTTTCCCGGCCGCGGCGTTCCAAGTGCCCAGCTCGCTTACTTTTTTGCTAAGCTCACTGCCAACCTTCTGAATTTCATCCTCAGCATTTTTCCAATTGCCCGACGTACTAGATGATTTTGTCCAATCCACTTCATCCAGAACTTTTTGGACATTACTCTGCGCGTTCTTCTCAATGAACTCTTTGGTTTTATTCATCCACTTCTCAAAATCTTTTACGTACTTAATGAGCAAAGTATTTATCCCCTTGAGCTGATACCAAATATCTTCGACTTTCTTTTTCAACTCAGCGGCGAGCGCCTTTATTTTCTCGTCGATTTTGCAATTCACATACTCTTTAACGCTTTCAAGCACAGTATTAATTTTATCTGTCATCGCCTTGAGATCTTTCTTCTCTTTCTCAGACAGCTCACTGAGACGCTTAGTCTCATGCTTTACCGCCTTCAAGGCACTCTTAACGTTAAGCGACAATGTGGGATTAAGCTCACTAATGATATTACGTATTTCCATTTGTGTTTCAGTGTCTAAAGTGTCATTAAATTTTGCAGCATTTTTTTTACATTCGTCAAGCTGCTCATTAATCATCTTCTCCGCCGCCTCCAGCACATCTTCCTTCATGTCATCCGTCACCTGAAACCTATTAATGCTACCAAGTAACTCACCTCGATTTCTGACGTACCTAATCAACACATTCATCGGCGTGCTCACCATAGAATTCGAACGCTCCACTCTCTCATTATACGCACGTACACCATCGGCCACAGCGGCTACCGCCGCCTTGTATTTAGTAATACCATTAAGTTTTGTGCTTTTAAGTGAAGTAAGTGCGCTACCTAAAGTGTCTTTATGCTGGCCTAATTTAGGCTGAATGTTATCTAAAACACCATGAAGGAAAGACATCACCCCGTCGCAGAGCCTGTCAAGGTCCGAGTACACGATGCCGTCGCCCGAGTAGCCTTTGGAAGTTTCTTGGTAACCAAGGAACTTCTCCAAGCCAGAGCACAGGTTAGTAAGTGAATCATGTGGATTATTTTAGGCACATTTTCAGGGCGATTTGGGGGAGTTTGGGGAAAGACGATTTTAGGTCAGGGAGGCAGCGAGGCAGTGAGGGAGGTGGGTGGACAGGGTGAGGGAAGTGAAGAGGCGAAAGAGGGCGATGAGGGAGGAAGATGGGTGGAGGTAAGGGGATTTAGGGGGTGGAGGTGGAAAGTGGAAAATGAGGATTTGGGCGAAGGACGCCGACGGAGGAGGTGATGGAGGAGGGAGCGAAGCGACCAGTGAAAGAGGAGGTGGTTGAGTGAGTGATTAGGTGAGTTAGGTGGTTGAGTGGGTGGTTGAGTGGGTGAGTGGGTGAGAGGGTGAGTGGTTGAGTGGTTGAGTGAGTGAGTATGTGGTTGAGTGATTAGTTGGTTGAGTGGGTGAGTGAGTGAGTGGTTGAGTGGTTGAGTGGGTGATCAGGTGAGTGGGTGAGTGGGTGAGTAGGTGATACACAGATCACACGTGAAGGCACGATTATGGTGAGAAGTACTTGACGTTGGCAATTTTCCCAACCCTTGCTACGGCGAGTAGTGACTGCGCGGCGATGCGGTGGCTTGAGGGTGATCTCAGGTGGGAGCGTATCCTCAGGACGTCGAGGCGGACGACGGCGATGTGCAGCAGGTAGAGCAAAGAGAGCGACCAGAGGGCGAGGAGGGTGTAGAAGAATTTGTATCTTATCTCCCACAAGAATGCTGGAATATGTTTATGTACTATATCACCAAGTGCGTTCCCTTTCTTGAGAACTTGTTTCAATGCGTCACAGAAATCTCGACAGGTTCTCTTTTCATTATCTCCGTACATGCCATTTAGAGCTGACGAATTTTCGTATACAAAACCGTATTTACAAAATGTAGGTAACGTAGAAGTGCAGTTTACAATAGAGTTGCAAGACTCACTGTGATTAGAGATAAGAGATTTGTTGGTGGCCTTACAACCTTGCGGGCACCGAGCAATGCGACATTTTGGCTTATCACCGCCACATTGTTTGTTGCACTCATCAAACAGTTTCTTGAGCAGGTCGTAGAATGTTTCGGTTACATACACTATCCAAGATAGGTATTTGTCGGCATTCTTTTTGGATAGCATCGTACCGAGGTCACTGGACAGGGGCCTCAGATATGGGCCACAGGGATGGGCTGCAGTAGAGGTTGGATTACAACTCACGAGAGAGTGGAGATCTCCATCGTGGTGTGGCGTATTTTTGCCGGAACTATGTTTAGTGCTCTTAAAGACGGATGTAATATCGAGATCGGTGTCTGGATTTTCGAAATTGACGCCTTTCACAGCCTGTTCAAATGGCTCTTCCCTGTGCTTCTTACGCTTGTCATTCCTATTCCAATCACCTAAGAAATTGTAGTAGAAAGCAAACATATCGCCTAGTGTTTTTGGTGGAGTGGGCAGAAGACAATTAAATATAGCGCACTGCTTGCGGAGGGAGAATATGTATTACCGCAAAATCCATGAAGTACATTGAATAAGTGCTGACCAGTTTTATATGCGATGCCATTGTCTCAATATCGGCAAAGCCCATCGGCGTTTTACATGGTTTACCAGTGTGGTTAGGCATCTGACAGGAAATTTGGCAACCGGTTTTGCTGAATGGATGTGGCATAAACCCAGGCAACCCGTCTTCTAAGTAGGACTGTAAAGGTGAATTAACGCCGCACCTAGGGTGTTGCTTACATGGTTGGTCACCTTTTGGTTGGCACGTTGGTTACCGTTTTGGTTAGTACTTTGGTTACATGTTTGGTCAGGGCATTGGGTAGTGTTACACTGCCAGTGATAGCCGGATACATTGCGGCCGTAGTGGCAGTCGGACCACCCGCCCAGCTCCATCGGATACGTACACTGGTAGTATAGGAAGCTGAGTTGCTGGCTGAGTCTCTGCAATATTTCAGCCAACAAGTCAAAACAGGCACCTGGGTTATTGGGATATAAGAGGTTATTGCTGTTGTTCAAATGATCACACGCATAAATGCCACCCGCATGGCCGTGGCCCAGTATGGAAGTTAAGAGGTCGTGGGACTGTGACATAATATCATACAGGGACGTTTCCATTTGTTCGGCAGTGATAGTCGACGGATATGCATCTAGAGTGTAGTTGGCAGAGTGGTTGTGCGCTTTGTATTCTGTTGGTTTATCAAACAAGGATATGAAGCGGTCATACATTGCGCCGAGCATGGGACTATATGTAAGACCAGCAAGCCAAGAGAGCATATGGAATACACTAAGTGGCGCTTTCGCGCCGTCTACGTGGCGGAGGTGGCAAGCGTGATTATATGTTTCAAGATAATCGTACAGCGTTGTCAGTGTGCTTATAGTTCCATCGGCTTTGTAGACGTGTTTATTGTCGGAGCCTACAAGGAATTTATTAACTTGCCCACCTCTCAGCTCCATGTCTATTTCGCCATTCTGCTTGCCTGCGTCAGATACGTCATACCCTTGGTCGGCCAGGAACTGTCCGAGCTTTGTGGATTTAGTAACACTGTCTCCACGCCAATTGCTGCCGCAATTCTGCTTCATTTCCTGCAAGGTGGAGTTTAGGGTGTAAAATACGGTAAGGCATACCTTCGCGCAATTTTTGCCTTCATCAGTTAATTTGGTTTTCGGCTCTGATGCCTTGGCGTCAGTGACCTTGGTCACCCAGCCATCTATAGGCTTCTCACCGGAGTACGTGTTGACGTATCCGTAGCCCACCTCTTTGGCCAGGCTTCTAATTCCCTCTCTCAAGGGATCTATCAACGTGCTGTTTGGCGTGTGGAATCTCTTAGGTGCGAAGTAATTAAAGGTGCCTCTTAAGTTTTTAAGGTTGTCAGTGAAAATGCGGTCGAAGTGCTGTGAATTGGCAAGATGCGTAAGCAACGTCTGCAATGCCTTCCTGGAAGGCTCAACATATATGCGATTGTTTGTGAAATCTTCCTGCTTGTATAATGCCTCCATGAAATCGCTAAACTGGTAACATACTGTACCGGCGATATCTCTTAATGTTCTGCTCTCTAGGTTATAGGTTCTGAGATAAGTGTTAAAGCGATTCAGAAATTGCTCATGCAATTTCGCCATAAAGCCTTTGTGTCCTTGTTCTAAATCGTCACTAATTGCTTGAGGCAGTCCATTCAAGTCGCTCCTAACCCTCTCGGCGAACTGCTGGATGAGGAGCTGCATAGTGACGACGTAGTCCTTTTTCGCCTGGGTGGTGAGTTCGTCTTGAGATTGTTTCACGGTGTTGTTGACTTGTTTGTGAAGCGATTTCACGTGCAGGTCGAGCATTTTGTCGGCGTATTGTTCGAGGAATATTTTGAGCTTTTTAAGAGGCTCACTCTCTAGATTGTTTTGAAGATCGAGAAGATCCTTGTGTATGTGATGGATACTATTACGGTCTTTGAGCAGCTTATTGAAATACGTGTCTCTCAGCTTCTTCAAATTTGTTCTAGCGCTGTCCTTGTCCGTGTCGGCGGCCTGCTTGATTGCGTTGCACATTTGCGTAAGTCCGTTGGTGATTTCGTTGACGCGCTGGATAATCGCAGCATATGCATTGTTGGCGCTTTGTTCATGTTTAGTGACATCCTTGTCGATTTTCTCTAGTATCTCGTCGATAACCTTTGTCTGGAGTTTTTCGTGGAGCTTCTGGATGCCGGCGTCTGCGGTGGTTTTCAGCAGTGTGGCGAGTTGGGGGTCGACTGTGGTCCACTTTACATTATCTGCAATGCTTGTCGAAAGCTCTTTACCAAGAATATTATGAGGACCGGTGGATCCAGAAGAGGATAACGCGTCAAGATTGTCGTGAAGCTCTTTAATTTTTTTACCGACTGCAGTCAAACCTGCAGTGATTCTGTCGCCTGCCTCATTGCCACTACCGTCAGTTTTGCCATTACCTAGTATCTGCTTGATCCTTCCGACATCATGTATGGCCGCATCCAGGTTGAAGCCGAGGCTGAAGATGTCTTTCTTGGTGGTGAAGGACCCAAGAGCAAGGGCAGTCTGTCTTGCAGTAAAAGAGAGAGAGGGTAGCATGAGCTGTACAGCGTATGAAAGATTAGTTGGGTTATACTTAAGTGTGGCTTTTGAATCCGTCACCCCTAGTGCAGTTTCAATCTTCTTCTGTACCGCGAAAACAAGGGTAGTATAATTGACCTTCGTAATGTTGTCACCAACATTCTTGGCAAAACTTGTACACACTTCCTGAATATATTCTACATTTTGTTGTATGCTATCTGGGCGGTCGCCATTCTGGATGGTCTTCGAAACCTTAAAAAGTTCACCGTTTAGCTTCGTCTTGAAATGTTCCTTGATTCCATCTTTAATCTCACTTGCAATTCTCTGAAGATGATCGGGATGAATTCCATTATCCTTAGTTATGTATTCCTTTTTTAACGCACTAACTCCGTTGTTATCTTCAGCGTACTGTCCAAGCCAACTCTTGACTGGCTCTTTATCCAAAATATTTATAATCCATCCCTCCACAAATTTCTCAAATTTATCTCTAAACGCCTCTGCATACATTTTTACCTTATGCTGAATACCCTTGAGACCCCTATATTTTTCATTAGGGTCACCTTCTGCAGTACTCCCAGGACCGTTAATCCAACCGACAACTTTCGTAATCTCCTCTTTAAGCTGCATCAAATATGTATTTATAACACCATTTCGTTTCCCATCACCAACTCCATCTTTAATCGCACCAACTTGCTCCTGGATTTTTTTAAAAACTACATCTTCAACATAATCCTTCATCTCACTCTTAATTCCCCCCTTGAGCGGTTCGTCATTCACGCCTAAATGTGTCTTAATTTGTTCCAACTTACTTTCCGGCACCGCCTGTGTAACACTCTCATGAAGACTCTTAAGCTGCTCCGTCGCATTTGTAATTGCTTCAACAGCTTTTCTAAATTGTTCATTTTTAAATGCAAAATCCTCATTCAACGTGCTGGACAGCCCCCGGATGAACTCCGCAGCTGTCTCAATCGCTTCCTTATTTTTTGCCTTCCTTTTAGTTTCATCCACTTCATTTATTATGGCCTCAACCTTATCAAACGCCGCCTTGACGGCGGCTTCAGCGTTCGCAATCCACTCCTCTAATGCCCTAGTGTACTCAATCAGCTGCCTGTTAATCTCTTCCAACTTATCCTTAATCGGCTTTAAGGCCTCCTTCACCTCTTTGACAAGCTTCCCAACGTCTACTTTAATCTTATCGTTAACGCTACATTTCAGTTTGTTCAATGCATCACCAATCTTGTCCGTCGCCGCCGTTAAGATGTCTTTCTCCTTCGCCGCCACGTCATGCAGTCGCACTTTCTCATGTTCTACACTACTAATTACGCCACGCACTCTATTACATAAAGTATTATTAAAATTATCAATAGTTTCGCTATGTCTGCTAAGTGAATCTACAAACGCCGAAGCGTTTATCTCGCAGTCCTCCAGTTTTCCACCGATGAGAGTCTCCGCCGACTTGATTTCTTGAGCACTGTGCTCCATCTTCACACCTGCAACAATATCAGGCAAAATATTATTTACATCTCTAACAAATGCATCACTTACCTTACTTTGAAGATTTTCCACTGTAATTTTAACTTGCTGATTGGATCTCCTCACACCCTCATTATACTCCCTCACCCCCTGGACCACTTCGCCAATCGCAGCATTAAAACCTTCTTTACCAGAGTGTTTATTGGTGTTAAGAGACTTAATAGCGTCATTTATAGACTCTTTATGCAGGCCTAATTTAGGCTTAATGTTATGCAAAACTCCATGAAGGAAAGACATCACCCCGTCGCAGAGCCTGTCGAGGTCGGAGTACACGATGCCGGAGCCCGAATAGCCTTTGGAAGTTTCTTGGTAACCAAGGAACTTCTCCAGGCCGGAGCACAGGTTATTAAGTAATTCACGTGGATTATTTTAGGCACATTTTCAGGGCTGTTTGGGGTTATTTGGGAAAAGGCGATTTTAGGTCAAGGAGGCAGCGAGGCAGCGAGGGAGGTGGGTGGACAAGGCGAGGGAAGCGAAGGGGCGAAAGAGGGCGATGAGGGAGGAAGATGGGTTGAGGAGAGGCGGTTTCGGAGGTCAAAGGAATTTTTTGGAAATTAAGTATTTTGGGTGAAGGACGCCGACGGAGGAGGTGAGGGAGGGGGTGAAGGCAGGGAGCGAAGCGACCAGTGAAGGAGGGAGGTGAGTGGGTGAGTGAGTGAGTGAGTGAGTGGGTGGGTGGGTGAGTGGTTGAGTGGGTGATTAGGTGAGTGAGTAGTGAAGGCACGATTATGGTGAGAAGTACTTGACGTTGGCGAGTGCCTTGGCGCGTGCGGCGGCGAGGAGGGACTGTGCGGCGATGCGGTGGCTTGAGGGCGAGCGCAGGTGCGAGCGTATCCTCAGGACGTCGAGGCGGACTACGGTGATGTGCAGCAGGTAGAGCAAAGAGAGGGACCACAGGGTGAGGAGGGTGATGGAGAAGGTCTCTCTTATCTTCCACATAAATTGGTCGATGGCCCCAATGAGTTTAATAAGTAGTGACTCGGTGCCGAGTACTCTCTGCAATGCTTTGCAGAAATCTTTGCACGTCCGTTTCTGCTTCGAATAATTTGTAGCACCGCTCAATCGATATGGGCTCCCGAATGTAAAACCATACTGATACAGCGTCGGATGCATGTCCTGGCATTTGACAATGGTGTGGCAATTTGTAGTATGCTTTTGACCATTGAGTTGCTTGGACGGCTCGTCAGATGCGTAAGTGGACTTCACTTCACATTTCTCCTCACAGCTTTTATTACAGCACCTGGTGCCCGGCTTCTCGCATTTTTTGCACGATTCATACAAAACATACAGCAATCCAAGGAGCGTCTCAGTAGTATACACAACCCACGAAAGATAGTTAGCAGCGCGCTTTTCGGAGAATATGGAACGGATATTCAATCCAAGGGGATGCAAATATTTGCCGCATGGTAGGCCGGATCCTGATTTAGGATCACAATCTGTAAGACTGGACATGTCTGCTGTGGCATGGTTGAATGTTGCATGTTGCTTATATACAGCATTGTCCAACAAAATAGTCGGATTCAATAAATATGTCTGGCCGAAATAGGCCTTTCGGACAGCTTCCTCAAATGCGTCCTTTTTATGCTTTACTCCCTTGTCATTCCAGTTCTTAAGGAAACAGTAATAGAAAGCAAACATATCACCAAGCGTCTGCGGGGCTCGGCGGAGGAGGCAGGTGAGATAGGAACACAGCATGTCGAGGTGAGAATCTGAACCGCAGAGATGGGAAAGTGCGTTTTTGAGGTGGGCTCCTGTTTTAGTATGCGACGCCTCCAATCCGAGGTTCGAGAAACCCATCGGTGTGAGACATGGCCTACCAAAGTGGTTGGACACTGTACACGTGAGCTTACAACCAGGGGTTTGGAACGAGTGAGGGATGAAACCAGGAAGCCCATCTTCCAAAAAGGATTGGAGAGGCGATTTCAACCCGCAGTCGTAATGTTGGTTGGTCATTTGGTCACCACTTCGGTTACATGTTTGGTTGTGCTTTTGTTCACAGTCTTGGTCGGGACATTGGAACTTATTGCAGGTCCACGACGACCCGCCGACATACCTGCCATATTGGCAGTTCGCCCAACCACCCCTACTACGGCTGTTGGAACACTGGATGAATAGGAAACGCAACTGATGAAACACTCTATTCAACACATCAACTAACATATCGAAGCACGCTGATGGATTCGATGGATATAATAATTTGTCAAAGTTTGTGCGGAATTCGCAGGCGTAGCGGCCGTCGGCGTAACCATTGCCTAGGAAGGCGACTAATACAAGTTGAGAGTGTAAACAAGTCTGTTGGAGCCTATGATTTAGCTCCTTAGGCCTAATTGTTGACGTGGCATCTAAGATAAGATCTGTATCTTTGAAATCTTTATACGGCTTTGCTTCCTCTCCCTTAGGCTTGTCAAACAGCTCCTTGAAGTACTCACCGAGTTTGTCGTACATCGGATTAAAGTATAACCCGGAGAGCCACTGGAGCATTTGGTAGATATTACTCGGCGCCTTGGGAGAATCGATATGTATATGTTGGCATACATGGTAGTACTTTCGGAAAAAATCGCGAAGGAAATCGGCAAGGTCGAAGAGATGAATGTTGTCAGTGTTTATACTTATGGTAGCAGTACCTTTCTGGTTACTTATAGAAAATTTCTTTTTCTGTTCTTCCACGCACATATCCTTCCACGTTTTGAGGACTGGAATGCTGTGCGCGGCGGCAATATTCTCCGTAATTTTGCCAAAAATATTTTCACCCTTTCGCTCGTTGTTCAACTCCCCGTTTTGTGTCTTGTCATCATTCGGCACAGTGAAGCCACGGTTCTGGAACCATTGCCCGAGCTTATTTTCAACTTTCTCTGTCTTCACCATTTCAGTCAAACATATTTTCTTTTCATTCCATTTATTCTTACCGCCCGATTTACATTCATTTTGCAAATCAAACAGATCTTTTCTCAGCCCCTCCATAAGCGTCAGGCAGACCTTGGCGCAGTTGCGGCCCTCGGTGGAGAGGACTTTCTTGGTTTCTGTTTTGTCACCAACTTTTATAGTTTCATCTTCCTCCCACTGTTCTACAGGCTTAGAACCACTGTATTTATTTACGTACGCGTGGGAGAGTTCAGTGGTGAATTTGATCATGCCGGACTTGAGGGGTGATAAAAGCCTCTTCGATGCATCACCCATATTTTCTGGATGAAATGAACTTAATGCATCTTGGAGGGCTTCGCGTTTTTTGGTCACCTCATGGTGGAAGTGTTTAGATGTTTCAAGTTGTATGAGCAAATTCTGAAGATGCTCCACATAAGGATGAAAATTGGATTCCAACGGCGTGAAATCATGTTGATCATATAATCCGTAGAAGAGCACATGTGAGAATTCCTAACGATTTCAGCGAACTGTGAGACTGTGTGAGGCTTTTGGGATTTTGTCCCAAATTCCTGTAAATGAGCATCCAACGACATTTGCAATTTGGTCAATAAACCCTTAAGGCCTCTTTGTTTATCGTGTTTGATAATACTATCGATCGCAGTGAACTCTTTCTCCACGATCTTCTGCAGGGCTTCGACTTCCTTTGTCTTGCGCTCGGTGTAGAGGGATTTGGCTTTGGATTGGAGGGAGGTGAAGGCCTGTTGGATTTTAATATTGGCGGCATCTCGCAATTGAACTATGGCCTTTTCAGTCATTTGAGAGGCATTTGCAATCAGCATTTCGGCGTCTAGAATACAAGCTGCAAGATCTGTGCTAACTTTGTCCACGTGATCGACAACATTCGCAACCTTGGTGCCAAGATCAGTCACATCCGCTTTAACCTTCAGCAAATTCGAATAAATACTGTCGCCTTCTTTTCTGTCAGCTTCCTTACCGACATTCCCTTGAAGCGTCGTCAGCTCCTGATTAATCTGAGATTTGAACTCGCTCACTAACTTCTGTAGACCGGGGGCTGGCTGGCCAACGCCGGGGCTACCGCCACCATAGTCATGCCTGTCATCCACGGTATTTTCAATGCCATTTTTTATTTTAGTAACATTAGCCTTAATAACTTTTACTACAGCCGTAACCTCCTCTTTTACTTTATCGTTAATTGCCTTAACAAGTGCCGTAACTATGTCATTGGAGTGCTGGGAGACGGCGTCGACAATTTGCGCGAGGGCGGTAAAAAGGGAACTTGTTTCTTGTTTTTGTGGTGTTTCAGAGCGCTCAACTTTCTCTATTGCAATCTGCACAGTTCCTGAAAGTTTAGGTAGTTTCGTCTTCAAATCATCAACGTCATCCGTCTTAACGCCGTATTCCTTGAGCTGGGCTATGATCTCTTGGAAATTTGGAACGGCACTTGTTCCGTCCAAGATTCCTCTCACCTTGGTAAGTGGTGCTTTAACTTCATTCAGATCTGTGGGATACAAATATGTTGAACCTTTGGCGATCGCCTCCATTGCCTCCATAACATGTTTCATAACTTGGCTGTCAAGATTGCGGAAATATGTTTTGAGTTCGGAAAACGCGGTGCCTTTTTGCATGGCTTGCAGTAAAGGAACTTGGACGTATGAATTTGCTCCCTCCATGATCTGCTCAACCTTTTCAAGTTCGTTAAGATTTCCGATATCCGTTTCCACGGCCTTTATCGCGTTCTGCAGCGCAGTATGAGTTGTACGAAATCGTTTTTCAAAACTCTCAGAATAACTCTTAAGACTTCCAACCGGACCAGCAATCTCACCTCCATACCTCTTTTCAAGCGCATTAATCCCTGCACGCACCTCACCAAACGCTATCTGAAGTTCATTCTTGACCAGTATACCTAACGCAGTAAATTTGCCAGCACGCAACCCTTCCAGCTTCTCGTGCAATGCGCCGATCTCCTTCTTCAAATATGTTCGGATCAATGCGCTTTTCTCCCCGAAGGTTTTTCTTATATACTCAGTGATCTCCGTCATCTTCGTTCCGGCCACGTCAGACATACGCTTCAAATCATCACTCCTAGCGTTATCATCAAAAGTCTTCGTCGCCTGCAACAGCAATGAAATGTTATTATTTAACTTACCTGAAAGCGTAGGATCAAGATGATCCAAAGCGTTCTTGGCCTTTTCGGCCTTCTCTATGTACAACTTGGCGCGATGAGTCCAGTCCCCAACTTGTTTCTTAAGGGCGTTATGTTGCTCTTCTTCGATTAATGTTTTGTCGTGATTAATAAGCGTTTTCATTTCTCTTACAGGCGTCTTAACATCTTCACATTTCTTGTTCACCTCACTCTCATACCTCCCAAGCCACGCACTCACCTTGCCAACCTGATCAGCCAAAACGCCAGACCCCTTACCTATGGAATCATAAAGTTCCTTGAGAAGTTTATCTAATTTTTCCTCATCACGCATATTATTATCATACGTTTTGACACTATCATCACCTTTCACACTCTCAAGCACTCCATGAAGGAAAGACATCACCCCGTCGCAGAGCCTGTCGAGGTCAGAGTACACGATTCCCTCGCCAGTGTAATTCCCTTTCTCGTAGCCGAGAAATTTTTCGAGGCCTGTGCAGAGGTTATTTAATAATGTTGTTGAAGGATTTTCATTTTGTTGATTTTTTTCAAGTGAATTAGCATATTCACAAAGCTCTTTCAGTGTCCCAAGAGACCTCTTGGAAGCCTGATGAGAGTCAAGAGATTTAGACTCTTTTTCAGGGAAATCATTTTGTGCTGCTTCAAGTTGATTTTTAAGGTTTTTAAGTTGATCAACATTATGATTTTGCTTAGCATCAATTTTCTTTTTAAGGTCATTCACTTGAGACTGAAGCTTATCAACTGAATTTTTCTTAGAGTCAAGGTCATCAATTACACTTTGAACAGCTTCAATTACAGTTGTAATTTGCGTTGTAAGCTTGGAACTTTGTGAGAAAATTTTTGCTTGAAGACTCTCATTTTCCTGTTGAAGCCTCTCAACATCTTGAGCACCAGAAACACTGTGTTGAGAATTCTTATTTTCTTCAAGTTTCTGCGCAATTTTTGTTTGAAGAGCATCATATTGCTTACACAATTCTTGAACACTTTTAAGAAGTTTCTGAAGCTCATTAACATTATGACCATCACACCCCTTACCTCCGCAAGATGCTTGTAAAAGCTTAACAAGCTGAGTTACATTACTGTATAAACCCTTCACAAGTGCATTCTTTACCTCGCTACTATCCCCAATAAATCCCGAAAGTTGTCCAGCAAGCTGACCAAGAGAGATAAGGCGGCCATCAATATCATCCAAGGCTTTCCCCCTGGCGTCCTCAGTAAGGTAATGAACGTCATTGTAATGGTTATTATAATTGGATTGAAGGTGGATTAAGGGAGAGTTAAAAGGAGTAAAGGGGCATGAAATGGCACATTTTTAGGGCGATTTGGGAGGATTTCGGGAAAGGCGATTTTAGGTCAAGGAGGCAGTGAGGCAGTGAGGCAGTGAGGGGACAGGGTGAGGGAGGTGGGTGGACAAGGCGAGGGAAGTGAAGGGGCGAGAGAGGGCGATGAAGGGGGAAGATGGGTGGAGAGGAGGGGATTTGGGGGGTGGAGGGAGAAAGGCGGAAAATGAGGATTTGGGTGAAGGACGCCGACGGAGGAGGTGATGGAAGGGGTGAAGGCAGGGAGCGCAGCGACCAGTGAAGGAGGAGGTGAGTGGTTGGTTGAGTGGGTGAGTGAGTGAGTGGGTGAGCGGGCGTGAGAGTGGGTGAGTGAGCAAGGAGCGAGGGTGATGGCGGAGCGAGTGAGTGGCCGAGCGGTTGAGTAAGTGAGTGGTTGAGTGGGCGTGGTCGAGGGCGGTCGAGTGGCCGAGTGGGTGGGCGAGTGTGATGAGCGGTCGAGTGATCAGGCGATGTGAGCGAGCGGCGATGGTTAGGCGAGCGGCGGGTGGTCGAGCGGGCGATGAGAGAGGGATGGCTGAGGCGGTCGGCGGCGGAGGCGAGTGGTCGAGGGTGGTTGAGGCGGTCGATGGAGCGAGTGAGCGGGTGGTCGAGCGGCACGATGGCGGTCGAGTGGGCGGTCGAGCGGGCGGTCGAATCGATGAGCGATCAGGTGGTGACCGATCAGGTGAGCGGAGTGGTCGAGTGATCAGGCGATGGTGAGGCGATACCAGACCACAGAAAGCCAACGATCACGGTGAGAAGCACTCGACGTCGTCGAGCGCCCTGACCTTGCGGCGGCGAGGAGGACCGCGCGCATGACGCGGCTTGCGGCGATCCCAGGTGAGCGCATCCTCAGGACGTCGAGGCGGACGACGGAGCGATGCAGCAGGGCACAGGAGCGACAGCTAACCAGAGGGATAACAAGAGTAGGAGAAGAAGCTGAGAAACGCTGAAAGATCATTTTAGGCACATCTTCAGGCGATCGGGGAAGCTGGAGAAAGCCGAGGATGTCATGCAGGAGGAGGCGGGTGACAGGTGAGGAGCGAAGGCGAAGATGGGCGGCAGAACATGAAGACCTGAGAGATACGACATCGAGCCGATGTAGAAGATGGAAACGATGATCTGGGTGAAGACCGACGATGATGCGAAGGGCGATGGAGCAGCCGACCATGGAATGCGATGATCAGGTATTGAGTGGGCGAGTGGGGCGCGAGTGGGGTAAGTGATCAGGTGGCGAGTGGTGATGGCTGGGCGGGCGGCAGTGAGCGGGCGAGCGCGAGCGGGCGTGAGCGAGCGGGGTAAGAGTGAAGGAGCGGCGAGTGAGTGCGAGTGAGCGGGGGGAGCGAGGCGGTGAGCGGAGTGGTGGGTAAGTGAGGGCGGGTGAGTGAAGGGGTGAGTGGCGGTTGAGTGGTTGAGTGAGTGAGTGGGTGGTTGGGTGAGTGGGTGGGTGGGTGAGAGGGTGGTTGAGTGATACACAGATCACACGTGAAGGCACGATTATGGTGAGAAGTACTTGACGTTGGCGAGTGCCTTGACGCGTGCGGCGGCGAGTAGCGACTGCGCGGCGATGCGGTGGCTTGAGGGTGATCTCAGGTGGGAGCGTATCCTCAGGACGTCGAGGCGGACGACGGCGATGTGCAGCAGGTAGAGCAAAGAGAGGGACCAGAGGCCTAACAACAGGTAGGAGAATTTCTTTCTTATTTCCCAAAGGAAATTGGGAATGATGACGTATATTAGCTTGGCAAGTGGTGCGTTGTCAGCTTCTTTATCGCTGAGAACTTCCTTCAATGTGTTGCAGAAGTCTTGACATGTGCGTTTTGCCGCGTCGGACTCCTCGCCACTTAGTGCAAATGGGCTTCCAAATGTGAAACCTGCAGCGTAGAGTGCCGGGTGAGTATTTTGACACTTGACAATGGATGCGCATTTAGCGTCATGGGTTGAGGATGGTAATCTGTCCGGCTGATGGGTTACTGGGCACATTTCTGCACAGCTTGTGTCGTGGCATCGTGACCCAGGTGTGTTGCACTTCTTGCGACACTCATCGTACAATTTCTTAAGCAGTTCATAAAACTTTTCCGTAATGTAGACGATCCATGACAGGTAGTAATCGGAGTGGTCTTTTGTATAGATATCACGGATGCCTGTGTATATTGGCTGCAAGTATGGACCACATGGATGAACTGGATTGCCTTGCGGCTCGCAGCTGAAGAGACTAAACATGTCACCGGTTAGTTGCTTATTCTCGTTGTTTAAATGCTTACTATGAGCGCTGCTGTTTTGTATGGAAGCGATGGTCAACATGTCATACCGGGCACCGAAATAGGCCATTTTGACTGCCTCGGCAAACGCATACTGTTTATGTGTCTGTCCTTCCTTGTCCCACTTATTGAGGAATTTATGGTAAAAGGCAAACATGTCACCCAGAGTTTGCGGAGGCCGGCGAAGCAGGCAATTCAGCATATTACATAGCTGTAGGAGGGGAGACTTTGGACCGCAGAATTTCTCGAGTGCCTTCTTGAGATTTGCGCCTGTTTGCGTATGTGAAGCAGCAACACCAATATATGAGAAGCCCATGGGCGTTTTACAAGGAATACCATTGTGATTGGCAACTGAACATTCCAGCTTACAACCTGGCTTGGTAAATGTATGAGGGAGGAAACCCTGCAGACCGTCCTCCAGGAACGACTGGAGTGGTGACTTAAGGCCGCAGTCAGTATGTTGGTTGATCGTTTGGTCGGCATTTTGGTTGCTGCTTTGGTTAGATGTTTGTTTGGTCTTTTGATCAGCTATTAGGGGGCACTCTTGGTTAGGACATTGGTTACTGTTGCAAGTAAAAGCTGACCCGCCAACTCCCAGGCCATAGTGGCAATCTTGCCACCCTGCACATGTTGTCCCGTTGTAGCACTGTTTGTACAGGAAAAACAACTGGTCATATAATCTAAATGATATATCTAAGAGTAAATCAAAACATTGACCGGGGTCACTAGGATATGACAAACCGTCGATGTTGGTGTAAAAGTCAACGGCGTAGCGCCCCTGTTCTTGACCGTGGCCTAGGATGGCAACTAACGTATCCTGGCAGTACATGCAAACATGTAAGAGTTTGTTGTCTAGGTCCTTAGGCGTGATGGTGTATGGGTGGGCTTCTAGTTTCAAATTTGCGGAACCTATTTCTTTATGTGTTTTTTCTTCCATTCCCATAGGCTTAGGAAACAATTCCATGAGGTGCAGCCTTAGCGGCCAATATACCGGATTCCACCGCAGGCCGTTGAGCCAGTGGAGCATTTGGTTGACGGTAGTTGGTGCCTTTGGTTTCGCGGGGATGCAGTAGTGACACACCTTGTAGTAACTCTCAAGGTGGCCGAAAAGGAAAACAAGGATGTCGAAGAGACCGATATGGTTGCCATTTTGCTTCTTACTTTCTTTCCATTTCTTAAGTGCTTCAACTTTCTCGGCGCCGGCAATTTTGTGCGTAACTTTTTCCAATATATTTGTACCCTTCATTGTGCTTTTATCTTGCAATTCACCATTTTGCTTGCCAAACTCGGACACTTCGTAACTACACCTCCTCAACCAGGCACCTAGGTCATTGGGAACTTGTACCTTGAGTTTTTGATCAAATTCAGTCAGACATATTTGCTTGTCTTTCCACGTGCCTGGACATTCTCGTGCTAACTTAGAGAAGTCATGTACTAGAATCTGCAAGCTGGTCAAAAACGCTTTAGCACAATTATTACCAAGATTATTAAATTCAGTGGAAAACGGTTTATTCCAACTGAAGTATGTAGCTGCATCCCCCTCATACCTGTTCACGTACCCCCTCTCCAGCTGCTCGACGAACGGCAGCAGGCTCTTGGGGAAAGCGTCGAGCACGGGATACGCGGGGTTGCCGAAGGCTGTGGAGGTGAGTGCTTGGACGGACGTCTTGAGTTTTTGGAGCATTCCGGGGACCTCGTGGGTGAAGTGTTTTTGCTCGCGCAGGTGGGAAAGGAGAGTTTGGAGCTGGGAGTGGATGGACTGGAGTTGGTGAAGGGTGCCGTTTGGAGTCTTAGAAATGAGTCGATGAAGTATGTAGTTGTGAAGATGATTAACGTAATTGTGAAAAGATTCTGATAGGTTTTTGAATTTCGTAGCATGATTTTCGTTTGGCGGTGTTACAGCTTTCTGAAGCTTGTCAAGTTTATTTTCACGATAGTCCATGGTCTTCAAAAGGCCTTTAATTCCGGTCATTTTGTCGTCCTTAATCATTTTTCCTATTATATTTTTCTGCTTCTCAACCAACGCGTTTAGGGCTTTTAGGTCCGCTTTATGTTGTTCTGCAAACATGGATTTGACGGCTGTCGTAAGGGATTTGAAAGACGTGTCCACCTGTTGGAGGAGATCCTTTCTTAATTTGGTGATGCCATTGTTCGTTTTTGACTTTGCTTCCGACAATGCGAGCCGCAGTGTTGTTACGGCAGTTTCCAGCGTTTCTTCGCCTCCGTCGACGAGAGCCGATATGTATTTTATTTTGTCGTTTAGCGTGTCAATCTTTCCTCTCAACTCCTCCAATTTACTAAACGCCTCATTCCTCTTCTTGGCAACGTCAGCTGGTACTGCTTCCAGGGTTTTAATTTTACTGAGTATCTCTCGCATGGCACTGCTGAAGGACGGCTTTGCGCCTTGGTCGTCGCCACGTGACGCTGTAATTAGATCAGGAATACTCAGAACATTTATGTTTCCAGTGGCATCCGTGTACTCAGTAACATGCTTTTTAATGTCGTCAATTTTCTGTCTGAGCGCACCTCTTTCGGCGCCAATTTCTGCACTCGTCGCCTTTTTATAAGCGTTCATGAATTCATCATTAAATGGTTTATCGACTTGATCAGTTGTCTTGTACTGTTTCCCAATATTGTCATTCAGTATGGTATTAACTTCGCCTTCAAACACTTCCTGACTGAGATTATTTTCGAGCGCTTCAATTTGCGATCTCACATTTTCCAGGACTGTTTGAAATTTTCTGCCCAAACCACTTCCCGTTTGGCTGACGTCAAATTCTTTGCTTATTTCTGCGGCAATGATTATGGCCTCCTCAAGATTGTAGCCAAGATAGAAAGCAATCCTATTTGATTTACTATCTTTCGCAGTAGTGAAAGACCACAGCGCACTGGCAGTCTGCCTAGCAATGATCACAAGAGTCATTAGAATGTAACGGATAGCGGATCTGAGATAGCGATCGTAAATGGATGCTTTGGGTTTTCTGGACGTCCATTGCTCATCTTCCTCAACCTTCACAGCTATGCTATTGACAAAAGATTTTGGGTTATCATGAGGTTCTGGTTTCTTCAATTCGGCCTCAAGCCGTTCGACAAATATATGTAGAAATTTGACGACAGCTTCTATATTCTCTTGTGTGTTTGCCTTTTCAACATCCGTGAGTCTAATCTGCTCCCGAGCTGTATCAATAACACCTTCCTTAAGTTTCTCCTTAATTTCCTTCTTAACAGCATTGTGCAGCTCCTCCGGAATCTTATATTTACCATCCACTTTAGCTGTATCTTCGTTAACATACTTATCGAGCCTGCCATTCACCACACCGTTCCCCTTCAAAATCCTGGAAATCCATCCATCCAAGATTGTATCTTCAAAACTGTCTTTAAACGTTTTAGTATAATTCGCCACCCGCTCTTTAATTCCCTTGAGACCTCTATAATATGGCTTACCTGTGTCACTGTCTTTGCCATTAATCTCGCCGACTAGTCCCGTAATCGCCACCTTGAGAAGATGCCAATGCTTTGCAATGCTATCTTTACTATCCCCGTTCTCCTTTCCCACCTTCTTTTTAATACTCTCAACTTCTGATTTAACCAACCTGACGTAGTGCTTGACATAATCTTTCATCTCCCTCTCCACCTTCTGCCTGATCGCCAGCAAATCTCTTTTGACATCCTCCTCTAATTTAGTGAGACTTAATAAAAGACTATTCTCCGAGTCATCTCTCTCCCCAACTGCATTAACGACTTTTTGTCTAACATCCTTCAATTTATTCTGATACGCTTCTTCAATTTTCTCCACCTTCTCTGTCAGTGCATTGACAGCGTCATAGTGGTTTGAATTTTGACTGGAATTTTTAGTGGGATCAACAAGCGCCAACGAGTCTTTAATGTTGTCATAATGCGTCAGAATCACACCCTCGTAGTCCGCATAGAAATATGTAACTAGGTGTTGAGCATCCCTTTTGGCATCCTTCAACTCATTTTTTAAGTACACAAAGTGGCTTTTTTTTTCACCTTCTAAATGATCAATCTGACTAACAACCTTTTTACATTCATCGTCCAGCGTCTTTTGCAAACCCTCGCAACGGTCCTTAATAGAACCCACCATATGCGCTTGCTGAACTAGCAACTGGTTGTCCACTTGCTGTACCTGAGGGGCCAAGTGCCCGTCCAAGCTAACACTTTTCATATGCTCCACCACACTTTTCACAGGCATGAATTCACGCAACACACTACTTTTAAGTGACTTATCTAAAACATTAATTTTATCAGTCTGAATTTTGTTTACCTCAGTTTCGAGGCTTTGGACGGTATCCCTCCAAGCAGTCAACTGCATTTCAAGTGAATCATTAATTTTGTTATTTACATCAGCTACATATTGATTACCTAAGTGATCACTAAGTTCGCTAAGTGATTTATTTACATTATCAGTGCGCTTATTAACCTCCTTAGTGTAACCACTAAGGATCTCACTCACAACACGTATCACATTATGCAGACCATTTTGGCCATTATGCAAATTCTCTGAAATACATTTACTGTCAGATTCAGTCATGAAAACATATTTAGAAAATGCATTGTCTTTTTTCACACTCTCAAGAACTCCATGAAGGAAAGACATCACCCCGTCGCACAGCCTGTCAAGGTCAGAGTACACAATTCCCTCTCCGGTGTAATTACCATTACTGTGGCCGAGAAAATTTTCGAGGCCTGTGCAGAGGTTATTTAATAATGTTGTTGAAGGATTATTATTATCTTGAGTAATTTTCCCAGCATATCCACAAAGCTCTTTCAGTGTCTCAAGAGACTCCTTGGAAGCCTGATGAGACTGAAGATCCTTATTAAGCTTGTCAATTTTAGAGGCATTTTTAGGAGATTGATAGGCATCTTTAATATTAAAAAGGAGGTGGAAAGGCACATTTTCAGGGCGATTTGGGGGAATTTGGGGAAAGGCGATTTTAGGTCAAGGAGGCAGCGAGGGAGTGAGGGAGGTGGGCGGACAGGGCGAGGGAAGTGAGGGGGCGCAGGAGGGCGATGGAGGAGAAAGAGATGAAGCGATTATGCGATGGGAAAGGAAAACGATGATTTGGGCGAATGACCGACGGATGATGCGAATGAGGCGAGGATGATGGAACCAGCCGAACTGTGAAAGGCGAGTGCCGATGAGTGGGCGAGGGCGGCGAGTGGTTGAGTGAGCAAGTGAGCGGGCGGTTGAGCGGGCGGTTGAGTGGTAGAGCGGGAATGATGGTCGATGGGTCGATGGCCGAGTGGCGGTCGATGGTGGGGGCGAGTGGTTGAGCGAGGCGATGATGAGCGATTAGTGCGATGATTGGCGAGCGATCAGGCGAGCGGCAGCGCGAGCGCGAATGAGCGAGCGGAGCGAGATGAGCAAGGAGGAGTAGGCGTGCGCGTTGAGATGATGGGCCGAGAAGATGGGGTGAGTGTGAGTAAGAGTGGGTGGCGGTGGGTTGAGTGGTTGAGTGGGTGATTAGTTGAGTGGTTGAGTGGGTGAGTGGTTGAGTGAGTGGTTGAGTGGTTGAGTGGTTGAGTGAGTGGGTGAGTGGGTGGGTGAGTGGTTGAGTGAGTAAGTGAGTGGGTGGTTGAGTGGTTGAGTGAGTGATTACGTGAGTGGTTGAGTGGTTGAGTGGTTGAGTGGGTGAGTGGGTGAGTGATACACAGATCACACGTGAAGGCACGATTATGGTGAGAAGTACTTGACGTTGGTGAGTGCCCTGACGCGTGCGGCGGCGAGGAGGGACTGCGCGGCGATGCGGTGGCTTGAGGGTGATCTCAGGTGGGAGCGTATCCTCAGGACGTCGAGGCGGACGACGGCGATGTGCAGCAGGTACAGGAGCGACAGCGACCAGAGGGCTAATAACGTTAGCATAAATGGCCATCTGATCTCTTTCATGAATTCATCTATAGCATTGAATAGTTTGACAAGAACAGATTCCCCGTCCAGTACTTTCTTTAGCACGCTGCAGAAATCGTTGCACGTTCGTTTCCTATCTGTGCCACTCAGCGTCTTCCGATCCGACAACATGAATCCATATCTGCATAATACCGATGACGTACTCTTGCACTGTATAATAGAACTGCAACCGGCATCGTGATTTGCGATTGACGATTTGTCATTAAAATTGCAGTTCTGTGGGCATTTGGCAATACGGCATCTTGCCTTATCACCGCCACATGTTCTATTGCACTCCTCGTAGAGACTTTGGAGTAAGCTGTAGAATGTCTGCGTGAGGTAAACAATCCATGATAAATATCTGCCAGCATACTTCTTTGAGTATATGCCAGCGATATCATTGGTAAGCGAATGCAAATATGGACCGCATTTGCCGCGCAGCTTTGAATTGCAAATAAGGCTGAAGAGATCACCGTTGGGATGTCCCATGGATTTTGATGTGTGACTAGTTGACAAGATAGACTGCACCTTTAAGCCTTCATATTCACGTTTGAAATTCGCTGCGTTGACAGCATTCTCAAATGCCTCCTTCTTATGCTTCAGACCTACTTCGTCACGTCTGCCTTTGCCGTGCCACTCAGTTAAGAAATTGTAATAGAATGCCCACATGTCGTCAAGCGACTGCGGGGTGCGATGGAGGAGACACTGCAAGTAACGGCACAGTTGACTCAGTGGCTTATCAGATCGGCTACAGAAATTACGAAGCACATCGTAAATATGCTTTCCAGTGTTCCTATGAGACGCGGTCACAGCGATTTCAGGGAATCCCATGGGCGTCTTACATGGCGTGCTAGGCGACGACTTGGGACAGCTGGAACATGTAATATTTGTCCCTCTAAATGATACGTTATGTGGCAAGTAACCTACAAGGCCGTCTTCGAGGAACGACTGTAATGGAGATTTCACGCCACAAGTAGGGTGCTGGTTACATGGTTGGTCAGCCCTTTGGTTACCCTTTTGGGTAGCGCTTTGGGTAGCACTTAGCTTACAGTCTTGGTTGTCACATTGGAGAGAGTTGCACTGGAATGACGAACCACCGATTTGGTTGCCGTACCAACACTCTCTCCAACCGCTTTGGTCGGAGCCATATTTGCATTGTTGGTATAGGAAGTGTAGCTGTTGGTGCAGCCGTTTGGCGATATCATACAACATACACAGCAATTGTACCATGGAACTAGGGTAGTACAGCTTCAGTGAATTGTTGGAGAACTCAACGGCGTAGATACCACTGGCGTGCCCATTACCCAGTATAGAAGTGAGGACGGGATACGCCTTCTCACACATCTTTGTCAAGGCTTTTACTGTTATAGGTGCAGTTACATTTGAGGGAGACGCCTCAATGGGCTTAACTGATTTCTTAGTTGGCTCCGCCTTATCTGCCACCATGAACTCGGAATTAATGTGCTGCTCAAATTTCTCAAATACAGGACTAAACGGGAAACCGCAACACCACGCAAGCATTTCGTAGATGGAACATGGAACTCTGGGTGAGTCTAAATGAGTGTGGTGGCAGACCTGTAAGAACAATTGGTGATATGAATTAAGTTCAGGGATTAAGCCCTTTTCTTCGGAAACCTCAACGCTTATCCCATCTAGTTCTGCAGCACCGGGAGCTGAGGGGTCAGACTTAGGACTAAACAGTACATGTTCACCGGCTGTGATATGAGTGTAAATATTATTACCTTTAAAGGTGTCTTTATGATTAAGTTCACCGCTATCGGCACTGTCGCTAAGAGTGATATCGTAACCGTTTTCACGGAAGAATTCTTTATGTAAGCTGCGAGCTTGTTTTGTGGAAGTGTACATTTTATACTTTCGCCATGCACTATCATCTTTTTCAAGATGCCCTGCAAGTTCACCTAACGTTTCCCGTATGATGGGAACTATGGTGAGACACGCCTTGGCGCAGCGCTCGCCGTCCGGCGTCAGCTTCTCTTTTGCCTGGTCAGCAGTCAGAGGCTCAGTCCACTTTTCGATCGGCTTAGCGCCCTCGTAGGCGTTTATGTAGCACTTGGACAGCACGTCGGTCAGCGCCGTCATTCCGTCCTTGAGGGACTGTAACAGGGCAGTGGACTCTTCGCCGAACTGTTTAGGTGTTAGGTCATTAAGCTTGGATTTTAGGGTGTGAAGGTTATCGGTGAATGTGGGATCGAAGTGTTTAGAGTTACCGAGTTCCTCGAACATCTTGTGAACAAGCAAGTAGATTAATTTAACATGACTGCGAATTCCAGTCTTACGAACTAAAAGAGTTTTTACGTGGTCCGTGAGAACCGTTATAACTACGCTGGCGTTGGTAGATAATACGCTCACGTCGTCATGCTTGTGAAGCCTGCCGACAATGCTTTCCATCTTCTTCATGAACCCCTTCGCGCCTTTGTCCGCGTCCGCGGTAATTTTGTCCGGCAGAGGTTGAAGCTCCGTCTGGCATTTTTCGGCGAAGGCTTCCAGCTGGGCCTTCATGAATTTGACGTATTTCGCGCGGAGGTCCTGGGTGATGGCGGATTCGGCAATTCCGACTTGCTTGATTAGGTGGGACTTGAGATGGTTGATGCAATCCTTTTCGAGTTTTTCGGATTCTTTATCTAAAAATTGCCCAGCTTCCTTGATGGCTTTTGCCAACGTCTCGTCTTGCAGGATGCGAAGATTTTCTGTAATGCCTTTTAGATCAGTATCAATTCTTACAGTTTTCATGTTATCAAGGTTTCCTTCCAGACCTTTGACGGCACGTCGAACTGAACCGCATAATTGATTGAGATGTCTATCCATCTCGTTGAATTTATCTTCAAACGTTGACTTTTCAATTTCATTGCCATCCTTAGTAGCGCCTGGGTTGATGATGTTAAGCGTCGTCAGACCTGTGTCTCGGATTTTTTTGATCGCGGCTGGAAGGTGGCCTTTAAGTTGTTCGATGTTAGTGGTAGTAAGTCCGTCAATGTTATCTTGTCCGACGTGGGATCTGTAATTCGTGAATATTGTTTTGTTGTCCTTAAGCTTGACATGAGTTGTTGATTTATCACCGCTTTCCGCCGGCAGCTGCTGCTCGAGCACGTCTTGAGAAACTACACTGCCACCGGTACCGGGGGCGCTTGGTATCTTGCCTTCCTTGAGGTCCGTGTAGGTGCCGTGGAATTGGGACATAAGAGTATCGCCAAACTGATATTCAGGTGTTGTAGCGGCGCGGAGGGCTGCAGCGCCATTGCTACCAGGAAACTTCTTCTTTAGCTCCGCCTCAACGGCCTTATCATGTTTGTAGTTGGAGAGTTCAACATCAGTGCCGGAGGTGGAAACTACTGTATCGTAGGCGGTGCCGTCTCCGTTGGTGGCAGTGTTGAGATTACTGTAGAGGTCCCCCGCTTTTGCATAAGCGTCGTCCACGTGCTTGATCTTCGCGGCTCCATTGCCAGTTAACAAGTCAAGCTGTTCAGCTACTTGCTTGGCGGTGGAGTGGAGAGCGGTTAGGATGGAAAAAACGATGTTGCGTAGGATGTACTTGTGTGTTTTACCCCTATGGTTTGTATTCTCCACCTTTCCCTCAATGTCAGTTACTATTTTCCACACGAATGAATCTATACCGGTAGACTTAATGTTGTCCTTTTCCATTTTCTCACCAAGCGTCGTAGCAAACTCATTAAAACACTTTTGGACAGCTTTAGCATTTTCATGAATCTTGTCTTTCTGTGTTGAACCGCCGTCAACAGTTGCATTATTAATCTTTATCTCACCACCATCCTTAAGCTTATTCATAATTGTATCCACGATTTCAACTATAGTGCCTTCAGTGAATTCATTTTGCCGGGGAATCAATTTTTTATCACTAAAAGCACTACGGTCGTAGGACACATACTCCTTAATGTCTTCCTTAACCGTTTTACATCCCACAATATCTTTTATCAACCCCTTCACCACATCTTCAAAACCGCTTCCACCATTAAACTTCTTAACATACGTACCCGTCACGTGAGTCACGAATTGATCGAGACCCTTTCCATTATTCTTAATGTCATTAACCTCCCCCTGAATTTTTTGCAGCACATTCTTAACATGCTGCGTCAACGCACTCCTAATCCCACTTTCCAACGTCCCCAAATCATCTCTCACATTCCCTTCCAACGTCGTCGCCAACTTTATGATCGCTCCCTTAATTTGCCCCCTCACCCCGTGCAAATCCTTCTTCAGCTCGTCGTCCATCGTCTTCACACCTTCCAGCGCCACAGTCACCAAACTCTGAACTTGTTTTTTGGCTGTCTCCGCTGCGTCCAACAGTTTCTGTGCTTTCTTTTTCAATTCATCTGCAGTGTTTACAGCATTCATCCAATTCTCCGACGTTTCGCCTTCACCGGAATGCCAAGTAACCTCCTTACGTATCTCTTTGACATCATTTTGCGCCCCTTCAATGAGACTGTTACTCTCACGCATCCACTTGTCCAGCGCCTGCACATATTTTTTCAGACTGTTATTCACCTCCACAACCTGTTTCAAAATGTCCGAAACCTTATTCTTCAGTTTCCTAACAAGCTCCCCAACGTCTTTTTCGATGCAAGAAAATACATTCCTCTTTAGACCGTCAAGCTGTTTACTAACAAAGTCTGTCACAGCCTTCAAGTCCCCTTTCTGATGCTCATGTATTTTGCCCAGTTGGCCACGCTGATACTCAATATTATCCTTAGCTTTAATAACATTACGTTTCAAGTCATCAGACAAATCGCTAACGTTTGCGCTATTTTGTGTAATATTATCGACAAAGTGCTGTGCCTGGCTGAGACACTCCGTCACACTCTTGTCAATTGCACCTACAGAAGAATTATTTTCTTGAATTTTACTTACCGCATTTTTTAGGTCTTCCATCTCATCTTGAAGCTTTTTTATCGGCGTGATCACAGCATTATTTGACGCCTTCACACCCTCATTATACCTGTTCACCCCCGTGACCACTGCTTGAATCGCAGTATTAAAACCCTCTTTGCCAAGATGTTTATTGCGTTCAAGGGACTCAATTGCACTTCGAATCTTATCACTATGTAAGCCTAAATGACCATGAATGTTACCAAGAACACCATGAAGGAAAGACATCACCCCGTCGCACAGCCTGTCAAGGTCCGAGTACACAATTCCTTCTCCGGTGTAATTACCATTCTTGTAGCCGAGAAATTTTTCGAGGCCTGTGCAGAGGTTATCTAAAAGGTTTTTACAACTTTTATCGTCAATATGATTTTTATCAATTTTCCCAGCATATCCACAAAGCTCTTTCAGTGTCTCGAGAGACCTCATAGACTTCTGATGAGAGTCAAGAGATTTTGAAAGCTTCTCAGGGAAAGCATTTTTTGCTTCTTTAAGCCTTTCTTCAGACACTTTAAGCTCATTTTTAAGCCTATTTTCATCTTTATTGTTCCCCTCCTCAATTCGCTTTTTAAGCTCATTCACTTTAGATTGAAGGTCATCAACTTTATTTTTCTTGAGTTCAAGTTCAGAAATTTTCTTTTCAACAAGCTCAATTACAGTTGTAATTTGATCTTTAAGCTTGGAACTTTGTGCGAAAATTTCTTTTTTAAGTTTCTCAATTTCCTTTGTAAGCCTCTCAATCTCAGCATCACTGCCGGGCGGCGCCTTTCCAGGCGCCTCTCTTTTTTCATCTTTTTGCTTATTAAGGCTATTAATTTCTGTTGCAATTTTATCAACTTCATTAAACTGCTCTTGAAGAGTTTTAAGATCTCCATCACGGAAATTCACAGCATCATCACACCCCTCACCTCCGCAAGATGCATTCAAAAGCTTTTCAAGCTGACTTACATTACTGTGCAAACCCTTCAAAATTGCATCTTTAACTTCCTCTCCACCGCCGACAAAACCCATAAGCTGTCCAGCAAGGTTACCCAAAGAGATGCGCCGCTCAGCAAGATCCTTCTCAGCACTCTTTCTCTTAGACTCAGAGCCATGTACTTCGGAGTAATGGCCATTATACTGGGATTAAAGGTTGATTAAGGGAGGGTAGAAGGAAGTAAAAGATGATTATTAAGGACATTTTTAGGGCGATTTGGGGGAATTTGGGGAAAGGCGATTTTAGGTCAAGGAGGCAGCGAGGGAGGCAGCGAGGGAGGTGGGTGGACAAGGCGAGGGAGGTGAAGGGGCGAAAGAGGGCGATGAGGGAGGAAGAAGGGTTGAGAGGAGGCGATTTGGGAGGTGGAGGGAGGAAGTGGAAAATGAGTGTTTGGGTGAAGGACGCCGACGGAGGAGGTGATGGAAGGGGGTGAAGGAGGAGGATGAACGAGGAGTGAATGATGAGGTATCGATGGGCGATGAGTACGCGAGTATGCGAGGCTGAAATGGGTTGAGGTAAGCGAGTATGTGAGTATGTGATTGATGGGGCCGAGTGGGCGGTAAGATGGGCGGTCGAGCTGATAAGGGAGCAGGCACGAGGGCGGCGATGCGGTCAGCACGATGATGGTAAGCGGCCGATGAGCGAGCGGTCAGGCGATGATGGCTGAGCGGCGGGCATCGATGGGCGCGAGGCAAGATTGAGGCGATGCGATGGCGATGATGGGTGAGCGATGGTAGGGCGGTGATGGGTCGATGGTCGATGGGCGCGGCGATCAGTGGGTAAAGCGATCAGTGGGTGCGATGAGTGGAGGCGATGTGAGTGGGTGGGTGATAGTGGAGTGAGTGAGTGAGAGGGTGGGTGAGTGGGTGAGTGAGTGAGTGGGTGATTAGGTGGGTGAGTGGGTGAGTATGTGAGTGAGTGAGTGATACACAGATCACACGTGAAGGCACGATTATGGTGAGAAGTACTTGACGTTGTTGAGTGCCTTGACGCGTGCGGCGGCGAGTAGCGACTGCGCGGCGATGCGGTGGCTTGCGGGTGATCTCAGGTGGGAGCGTATCCTCAGGACGTCGAGGCGTACGACGGCGATGTGCAGCAGGTACAGGAGCGACAGCGACCAGAGGGCTAATAATAACGACATAAATGGCCATCTGATAATGCATAGGAAATTGTCGCACTCTCTAAACAGGTCCTTGAAATATTTTGAATCAAGCACTTTCTTTAGTTGTTTGCAAAAGTCGGAGCATTGTTTCACCGATTTAACGTCATTTATCTTCCATGCTGCGCCAAACCGTAATCCATACCGGTACAATATGGGTGACACGCCTCTGCAGTTTACAATGGATGAGCAATCACATGCTGATTTCTCATCGGTGAGACCATGTTTGCCACGCTTACAGTTATCGCCACGCAAACAACTGCGACATCCCCAATCCTGGCAGTTGATATTACAAAAGGCCTCATACAAATTGCTAAGTAACTGCCAGAATGTCCATGGGAGGTAGATAGCCCATGACAAATATAGGTTGGCATTCCTTCCGGCCGCATAATTATATGAATCTAAGTACAACGATGCTATATAAGGGGCGCAAGAAAAATCGTTGCCGGAACACACAGTCATGTGCTTGTGAAGGCATAAGCTTAACAAGTCTTCATGTTTGCCGTCTTGGTGTGATGTTTTGCTCTCCTCATTGGTACCCTTGGAACCATAGATATTTCTAAGTGCATCACAAAGTTCATTGGCATCGTTGACTTGATATATGGATGACTGTTTCATAGACTTTTCGAATGCCGATTGGAGGTCATTCTTATTTCGTGATGAACCTGTCTGCCAACCTCCGAAATGCTGCATTGCAAAACAAATGTGTTCGGGTAGAGTGGATGGTGGTTTAGGAGCGATACAGAATAAGGGTGGAAGAATGCAAATACTGAAGAATTTTTTTATAAGTTCACGTAGCTCTTTCCCCGTCCGTGTGCTTCCGGAGAAACCGCGGAAGCCAAGAGGCGTCAAGCATGGTTGCCCAGGCTTGCTTTGGGGCACGTGTTACATGTAGCTCTACAACCGATGGAACTAAGCTGATGTGGTAAATGACCAGGAAGACAATCGTTCAGATAGGACATTAAAGGTGAAGTAGGTTGGCAATTTGGTTGTGTGTTTGGTTGGTCACTTGGTTGGCACGTTGGTTTGCTGTGTGAGTGGTTGTCACATGGCAATTTGGCTGGAGCTATGTCCTTGCCGTACTTGCAATCGTACCAACCGTGATGTATAGCACGCAATTGACACTGATTTTGTAAGAATCTGAGTGTAGGTAAAAAACGTCGAAGGATGTCGAGAAGCATGTCAAGGCACTGTGATGGAGTGGAGGGATAGTAAAAATTTAGTGCATTGTTTTGGTAGTCGGAGGCATAAACGGTGTGTTCATCACCAGTTCCCAGAATGCTGGTGAGCAATTTGTGTGAATAATTGCATAAAACTTCCAAATCGAACTCTGCAAGGGTGTGTATTTTATATGAAAAATCGGAGTGGTCGTTGGCAAACAACGAATTAAGGTGTTGCTTAAGGGGCTCATAGACACGGTGGTAACGCAGCCCGGCGCACCACTGTAGCATTTGGTTAACGGTGGTTGGTGATTTAGGTGAATCAATGTGATTAAGGTGACAGACGTTATTATATTGGTTGAGATGCTTAATTATGCATGAAAGGATGTCCGATACATTGAAGTTCTCTCCCTTTTCATTTGGTTTGCAAGCTGTAAGATGTGAATTCTTCTTCGCATCATTAATTGTGCGTTGGAGGTTGTCATAGATCTTCTGACCTTTATAGTTGGTCAGAGGGAACTTCAACTCGCCATCCTTGGAGTCTTGGTTTGTGGCCACCTTGTAACCACAATGCTTTAAGTATGCACCTAGAGGATTTTCTTTGTCACCATTTAATTCAAACAGCGTATGCTTGTCCCAATATTGGTCACATTCATACACTAACTTGCGAATGCCATCATAAACGGTTCTCAATATTGTGACACAGACCTTGGCGCAATTTTTTCCCTCGGTAGTTAATTCATATTCTGTCTCGGCCTTTTGGGCTGACGCGGAGGAGATGGTATTGGGTGGTACGGAAGGCGCAACTTTTGGAGAGACGGCGCCAGGTGTTACAGCGGGAACATTTTTGGCGTCAACACTTTTTTGTTTCAACAATTGCCCAAATGTCCTACCCGAATAGGAGGAAACATACCCCTTTTTCAGCTCTTTGACCAGAGCCGGGAATCCCTTTCTGAGAGCGTTGAGCAGCAACGGACTGTTGCCCTCGCCGTATATTTTAGGACCCAATGCAGTGACTGATTTTTCAAGTGCGTCTAAATTATTACTAAAGTCATTGTTAAAGTGCTGTGAACTAATAAGGCCAGTGAGCAATGTTGTGAGAGCCTCCTTGAACGGCGCGACTTTATAGAAGTCAGGCTTGAAGTCTTCTTGATCTTGCAAAATAGGGAATAAATCCTCAAACCCCCTATTTAAGATTTTCGTCCCTTGTGTTAACGGTGAATACTGCAGCGGATCGACTACAGAAATGTACGCCTTGACGTCCTTAATATCCTTAACTCGGTTAACAAACTTCTCGCCGAACTTCCTCATAAACCCCTTGAACCCTATTCGCAGATCCTCCTCGATCTGCGCGGGCAAAGGGCTCAGCTCCTGCGTGACCTTCGCGGCGAAGGCCGTGAGCAGCTGCTTGACGGAGGTGACGTAGTTGCGGCGGGCGCGGGTGGTGAGGGTGGAGATGGCGGAGGAGACTTGAGTATTTACGAAGGACTGAATGGCTTCTATAGTTGCTTGTCCTGCTTCGTCAGCTTCTATACTAATGAAATTATGGGCCAGGGTGATGGCTTCACGAACGTTATTGGTTCGCATGCCATCAATTAATTCTTTAATCTGTTTGAGTCTGAAATTTATGTTTTTCTTTCTGAAATCTTCCAAGTTGTATTTCGAGTGCGTGCCTTCTGTGGAAATAGCTGCGCACAGAGCAGCGAGCTTGGCTGTTACCTCTGGCACATCATTACGGAGCTTTTCGAGTGTATCTTGAATGTTACCAAGACCGTTAGAAAAGGTTGCCCAGAAATTGCTCCTAACATTCCCTAGACCCTTATTAAGATCACACAATAGCGTTTTGATGCCCTTTTCTGGATCACGTTCCAATGAGCCAGGGTCATTCTTACTAACTAATGCGGTTAACGCTGTGAGACCTTGAACAATGTTTTGTAGAGGGATATCAAGATCATTGATTTCTTGCGAAAACTCTTTCTCGGCCACACCAGATTTTTTAAAATATGCATTTAATCCCTCACTGAGAAATTTAGGGATTGCATCGGTGAGCTCGGATTTCGTACTCTTATAGTTCATGAAATTTGTGCCTTCCAGTTTAACTTTAGTTGGTTGAATCAATGGATCTGATGAGTCTGTCTCGTCGGGCAGTTTCTTTTCAATACCTCCCTTAATATCTTTTTCAATAGCCTTATACGCTGACTCATTGACACTCATTCTTGTCCCGGAGGAGTCATAACAGAGAGATGATAACACCTGTTGTAACGTTGTGGAATTTGGAACTTTGCCGTGGAAGCCTCTTTCTGCATCAACAAGCCATTTTCTTAGACTTCCTGCGGGTTCTTCTCCCAATTGATGAGCGATGTTGCCTAAACTACGGCCGTCTTTTGCAGCCTCATGCAGCGTTGAGACATACGTCTCAATGACAGAATTTATAGTACCCTTAAGGGTGTAAAGATCCTCCTTAATTTTACCTTCCAAGTTCCCAACTGCCTCGCTCACCTTCCCAACCATTCTGGAAATCTTGTCTTTCGAACTATCGTATGCCTGCAATAGGCTTCGTGCTCTATTCTTTAACTCCGTTGCCGCAACGTATATAGGAGATGTGCCATTATCTTTAACTTTCTCTAAAATTTCTTTACACTTCCCTTCCGCTTTTTCCACAACGTCTCTTGCCTGACTACTCCACGTTTTCAAATTGCTAATTTCCTTGCCAATCCTGTTTCCTACATTTTCAACCACCACCTCAACGGCATTTCGATTTTCCGATTTTTCGTCTTCTTTAACTTGCTCCAATATTTTTTTCACTCTCCCCTCTGCCTGCTTCACAATCTGCTCAGCTTCATCAATCCACGATGCCAAGTCATTCACATACTCCTTAACCAACTTGTTAATGTCCTCAAACTTAGATCTTATTTCCTCAACTTTCTTCTTCAAATTGTTTACAAGCGCTTTTACGTCGGTACGAATTTTGGAATGAACTTCCATTCTGAGCTTCCGAAGCGTTTCATTGATAATACTCTTCATAAGTCCAAAATTACCAAAGAGCTGAATGGCCAAATCCCCCAAACGCTTAGTCTCGTGCTTAATGTTTCTTCTTGCGGTATTCACTTCTACCTTTAATGATGGATTAAAGTCGTCGACATATTTCTCAAGAAGCACTATATCATTTTCAAACTTGTTACCCTTGTTAAAACATTTATCAACAAGTTCACCGGCGTTAAGTACAGCTTGCTCAACATCTTTTGCACTGTATGTCTTAAATGCTTTTTCGTCAGGAATTTCGCCAATTTCAGTAAGTAATTTACCTGGTTCATTGCTGCTAACGTAGTTATACAATTCTTCAATCTTCTCCTTGACACCATCATTACTCCCCTCCACTTCCCTATTATACCTCCCGACACCACTGGCCACCTCGGCAATGACACTCTGAAAACCCTCATGACCTTTACACAAAGCATTTCTAAGGCTCTCAACTACATTATTCAACTGTCCACTGCCTACTTTGTACGGCTGTTTATCATGGACATCTTTAAGCACGGAATGCAAAAACGCCATCACCCCGTCACAGAGCCTGTCAAGGTCGGAGTACACAATTCCCTCTCCGGTGTAATTACCATTATGGTAGCCGAGAAATTTTTCGAGGCCTGTGCAGAGGTTATTTAATAATGTTGTCGAAAGATTATTTTAGGCACATTTTAAGGGCGATTTGGGGGAATTTGGGGAAGGGCGATTTTAGGTCAAGGAGGCAGCGAGGGAGGTGGGTGGACAGGGTGAGGGAGGTGAAGGGGCGAGAGAGGGCGATGAGGGAGGAAGATGGGCTGGGGTAAGGCGATTTTGGGGGTGGAGGGAGGAAGTGGAAAATGAGGTTTTGGGCGAAGGACGCCGACGGAGGAGGTGATGGAGAGAGGTGATGGAGGAGGGAGCGAAGCGACCAGTGAAGGAGAGGTGAGTGGGTGGTTGAGTGATTAGGTGGTTGAGTGGATGAGTGGGTGGTTGAGTGGGTGAGTGGGTGAGTATGTGGGTGGTTGAGTGGGTGAGTGGGTGAGTGATACACAGATCACACGTGAAGGCACGATTACGGTGAGAAGTACTTGACGTTGGCGAGTGCCTTGACGCGTGCGGCGGCGAGGAGGGACTGCGCGGCGATGCGGTGGCTTGAGGGTGATCGCAGGTGGGAGCGTATCCTCAGGACGTCGAGGCGGACGACGGTTATGTGCGCCAGGTACAGGAGCGAGAGCGACCAGAGGGCTAACAGTGTTAGCATAAATGGCCATCTAATTTTTTTAAGGAATTCGTCGCACTCCTCAAATAGATCTCTGAAGTATTTTGATTGAAGTATGCTGTTCAACTGTTTTTGGAAACTGTAACACGTTTTTTGTTTATATTTTTCATTTAGTGTGTATACGTCGCCGAAACCAAATCCGCATTTGTACAGTGTCGGTGAGACACCTTTACAACTGACTAGGGATTTGCAGTGACATGAGTACATCTCTTCTCCGTGTTTTCCTTTCTTGCATCTATCGGCATTCATACATTTACGACACCCCCAATCTGAACAGAATATCTGTTGGAATTGGGAAAGCAGAAGTTGGAGGTAATCCCAGAACGTCCATGGTAGGTAAGTGGCCCATGACAAATAGAGATCGCAGTTCTTGTTAGACATGTATTTGTAGGCATCCGTGTAAAGAGAGGAAACATATGGAGCGCACTGCATCTTACTACTCTTCCCTTTACAGAGGTCAGAGGTTGTAAGACTTTTAGGTGAATGTTGTCACATTCAGAATGGTTGGCGGAAGCGGAACCGTAGGCGGCGGTAAAGGCATTAGTAAGCTTGTCGCCAACTTCATATAGGTAAATGGACTTTCCTTTGATAGAATTTTTGAAAGACTCTGCAAACGATTTAGGATCGTCAGCCTTATTCGACTTCCGTGCATTTAGACCGTTTGCAAGCGATAATGCAAAGGAAAAATGTTCAGGAAGCGTGGACGGCGGTTTGGGAACTTGACAGAACAGCGATGAAAGTTTAACGTTCTCGAAGAAGTTGATGAGCACGTTACATAGTTCTTTGCCCGTCCTCGTACTTCCAGAGAAGGCTCGGAACCCGAGTGGAGTAAGGCAAGGCATTCCCTTGGAGTTAGGGGAACAGTTCAAACATTCAGACTTACAACCGACACTAATTAGTTGGTGGGGCAAATGCCCTGGTAATCCATCCGTTAAGAAGGACTGAAGTGGAGATGTAGGTTGGCAATTTGGTTTGTCATTTGGTTGGCACTTTGGTTCGGTGCTTGGTTGGCACCTAGGTTGACCATTTGGTTTATCGGTTGGATGGTCGTTGCATTGCAATTTCGATGTTAATATGTCTTTGCCATACTGGCAGTCGGACCACCCGTAATATTCGGCTTTAACGTTACATTGGTTCTGCAAAAATCTTAGTGTCGGCAACATTCTACGAAGCATATCGAGTAACATGGCGAGGCACTGTGATGCATTACTTGGGTAATGGAAATGAAGTGAGTTGTTATAATAGTCCGATGCATATATGGTGTATGCGTCCCCGGTGCCAAGGATAGTGGTGAGAAGATTATGTGAGTAAGGCGACAGATTCGGTACTCCGTGTGTCACAGCGTTGCTTAATTTCGACACAACGTAAATGTCCGTTTCATCTTTGACTAAGCCTCTGCAATGGGTTGAGAAAGGTTCGTATATCATGTTATATTTCAGGCCACTGGTCCAACACAACATATCGAAAACGGAACATGGGTGTTTCTTGGAGAATGAAGCAGTGATGTGACCAACACGGAAATAGTCATGAAGGTGAGACGTAAGGCATCTAAGTATGCTTATTATATTGTCTTTGTTTGTCGAATCTTTAAGTGCTGAACACGTATTAAGGTGCGCGTTGCTGTTGGCGTCTTGAATTTTATCATTGATTTTGTCAAGAATATTCTTCCCTCTGAGGTCTTCCTTATTCTTCAAATGACCGTCTTGTGATTTTGGCTGCGTGGCAACACGGTACCCATAAGACGTGAGTAAGTCTCCCAAATGAGACGATTTATTAATTTGACTAGATGAGGAAGGATTTTCACACGTATTCTTAAGAACATTCAAATCGCTGTTTAACATGTTCAATATTGTGAGAATGATCTTAGCACATTTCTCACCGTACTCAGTCAATGTATATTTGTTTTCGTCAGGCTGTACGGCTTTTGTCCCAGTTTGTTTGGGGTCAACTGGGTTTTTAGTCTCTGTTTTAACCAAATCATGAAGAAACACTCGACCACTAAACGTCGACACGTACCCCCTCTCCAGCTGCTCGACGAACTTTACCAGGCTCTTGGGGAAAGCGTCGAGCACGGGATACGCGGGGTTGCCGAAGTTTGTGGAGTGGAGGGATTCGACGGATGTCTTGAGCTTCTCGAGCATTCCGGGGACCTCGTGGGTGAAGTGTTTTTGCGTGGACAGGTGGGAGAGGAGGGTGGTGAGATGGGAGTGGATGGACTGGAGTTGGGAGGGGTATTGGGAGGAGGAGGGGAGATGTTTGGGGAGGTCATGGGAGACGTAAGTGTGGATGTGATTTAGGTAGGCGAGGGATTTGGCGGAGACGTCTGCTACTTTGTCTCCATGTAGACCTTGAGTTCCAGAGTTCTGAAGGTCGGTAAGGTAATTATTATTTTGACTTTGAACAAACACATTTTTATTATCAAATCCCGCAGCGTTGGCGTCTATGCACACGCCGCTCAGGGTCTTTAGGAAGCCTTCAGGCCGGTGTTGAGGTCTTTGTTTATTATCTGTCTGATCTCTTCCGTTCCATAAAACGCAACCGTTGTTAAATTTGAGAACGCTTCAGAGATTCTGGAATGATACTCATTTTTTGCCGTCATTTCAATATTCGTAGTGGACGCTGCTATTTTTGCATTTACTTCCGTCGTCAATTCTTTAATTATATTTGCAGTTCGCTTAGGCGCTTCATCATGTAATTTCGAGGCATCTCTAATACACAAGAACAGTTCCGTTCTGACAGCCAGGACACATTTCCTAACGTCATCAGCTTTGCAGGCAAGGGCCTCAATTTTACTTTTTAGATCGTTTAATTCGGCGTACACAGATTCTTTACTGCCTTTTTTTTTGGTGTCAGTCGACTTGCCAACATGGTGCTCTTTCAGCCTTTCGAGCTCACCATCAATTGCTCTGTTAAACGTCTCCACCAATTTTCGAGGCCCGTGACCTTTTTCACACCACTGCGAATGTGGAAAGTACCGCCTATAGTGCCGACAAGATTTGAACACTCCGTGACCCTAGCATTTATGGTACCGGCAACATCTCTAACTTCCTGCGATACTTTTTCTTGAATTGCTCCCATGACGTTCTCGACGACTTCCTTGAGTGCTTGGAGACCTCCTGTGCGATGGATCCCAAATCGATCAGGAGAGACATGATGTCGGCTTTTGTTATTAATTTTCCAGACGATAGTTCAAGCTTCTGTATCACAGCGTTTATAGCGTTTGAGTGTTTTGATAACGTCTCCTCAAATTGAGATTCTCGCTTCCTATCTTCATGCCATGAAGGGTCTCGATGTCACTAATTTCAGGGACTTTACCCTGGCTACCAATTGCAGTTTTAGTTCATTGATGGAATTCTTAGCATCTGAAAGACCCACTGAAAATCGTACATCCTGTCAGGACGGAATACTTTATTCATACACTCACCTATTTTATCCATCGCCTTTTTCAAAGGCGTCATTACACCAGTTTCAAGTGAAGTGAAATACTTTTGACACGATCAAATGGATCACTATTAATAGCGCTTAATAACTGTACCGTTCCTTTTAGGCTAGCTCCGATACTCTCCAGATCTCTAAAATTCTCCAGCTTCCTGATCTCTCCCTCCACTACCTGGATGGCTTCCTGAAGAGAAATTCTAGTCTCATTGATTTCCGTTTTGAAACTATCCGAAGCGCTCTTGATAATTCCAACCGGCTGGAAAATCTTATTATCATACTTACTTATAACACTTGTAATCCCGCCCTCTACCTCCTTGAAAGCCTTGTGAAGGTCCTGGTAGAGAGCATTTTGCAATTCCTTAAATTTGTTCGAACGTAATCCGTCGAGATTTGATTCTACAACTCAATCTCATCCTCAAATACGCTTGGAGTTCACTCAAACGTTGTGCAGCCCGTTTTGCGACGAACTCACTTATCGCATTCAACTGCCTTGCACTACAGTCCAAAAGGTTGCGCAACTCCGTATTAGTCGCCGCTCCATGGAACTTCGCTACCTGCACATGTATTTTATATATTGAATCCTTCAACTTATCTCCAAGTTTAGGGTCTAGGTCACTATAGTATGACTCAGCTAGCTTGAACGCATTTAATATAGCATCTGCATGGATGAAACAGTTACCCAATTTGTCGGCAACTTCGCCGGGACCACAACCGCTAAGTTCGCTAAGTGAAGTGTTGAAGTGCTTTATAGTGACAGCATTAATATTATTAAAATAGTCTTTCACCCTCTCTGTCTTCCCCGTGACCTCTCCGTCCCACGTCCCGAGCGCACCTGCAACAGTATGAATTACACCAGTGAACGTACCTTTTTGATGCATAGATGCTTGAATTTCTTGAAGTATCTTGTCCATTTCAGTAACAGGAAAATAATGCTTAACGTTATCATCATCCTTCACTCCACTGAGCACCCCGTGCAAGAACGCCATCACCCCGTCGCACAGCCTGTCGAGGTCCGAGTACACAATTCCCTCTCCGGTGTAATTACCATCCTGGTAGCCGAGAAATTTTTCGAGGCCTGTGCAAAGGTTAATTAATAATGTAGTTGAAGGATTATTTTAGGCACATTTTCAGGGCGATTTGGGGGGATTTGGGGAAAGGTAAAATTAGTCAAGGAGGCAG